TGTGTGGGACTAGCAGGTTATGATTTTTGGAAGATTACATTTATTGCTAATTGTGTCATTTTTTTCCAATTGTGCCAATTAGTATCTTTGCAAGATACTAAATCTTTCCTCTCATTTATTTTACAACACATGGTGCCCAAACAAATTGCCATCTTAAAGATGGATCACTTCCGCACTAATAGTTGATTCCGCTAAATTTCGTGTCCAAACAGATAGTACAGGGAAATCCGTCTGAAAAAATCGATCTGCTGACACACGAAGCTTACAAAGGATTTTTGACGTTTTTGAGTCCTATTAGGTGCCCTTTATGGCTGACCAACTTTTCCAAACTTTTCCACGTGGCTTAAGGCCACTTTTTGCCACTTTACCACTTTTTACCACCTTTCTTGTTTGTCGAATATCTTTAGTTGTGAACATCGTAAAAGGTTGCGAATCAATCGAGTGTGTTCATATTATCAGGAAGAAAAACTTTTGTCCTAACAATTTTTACGTCAGATAATAAGTTAATTGGATAATTATCAATTAACCAATTAGCAAAATTCTAAAAAATTTTTATTGGCTAAAAATGATCGGAATAACTTAAAACACGGAGAAAAGTAGTTTTTAGAAAAAAATTTGAAAATTTTTCACTTACATTTGTTTTTCGAGACTTTGAAAAATTTCGAAAATTCAAAATATTTTTTCCCGCCAAAAGTGATCAAATTGCATGAAACGCGGAGAAAAATGATTTTCAAAAAAAACTTAGTCAATTTTTCGTTTCAAGAATACTTAAATCACCAATATTTGTAGTTGGAGTTTAGTAAATCTCGGCAGATTTTAGTAATAATCAGGAATTACTAACTCTAAGTGGAAAGGTCTGAAACTGAAAAACGTTAAGTTTAACCATACGATCGTGATATAAGAGTTTCATAACTAATTACAATACAGCCTTATCGATTTTCACAGAAACTGCACCAATGGCACAGTCAAGATCGAAACGATAGCCTGCTGTACTGTCATTTTATTGATTTCAATGATGAATCAGTGGGGTTAAGATTTGTAATAAATAAAACCTCTCTGTACCGTCAATTGTGCTAATCTAAACCGGCCTACCTGTATTACCAGACCTCTTCTTTTCCTCAACAATCAAACCGAGTTGTTCATATCGCATTTGGTGGGTGATGTAAACTAAGTAGTAATACATATCGAGCTATATTCAATCACAATACGACACAATGCAACACGTGTATATTATATTATGGCCCTTAATGAGGTATATGAAATGTTCTATACGGTACACTTCTCGTTTCTCCCGTGAGAGGCCCGATATGGAGAGGTTTTACAGTTTATCACGAAAATGTCTACTTGGTCTCATGGCTCTTTGACAGCTCAAAGAAGGCAAGAAAAGACCAAAAAGCTTGGAATGTCAACTCGCAAGAGCGGGCTACCGGACAACTGAACCCAATTTAGACATTTAGATTAACCCTAACTCTAACCCTAACCCTAACCCTAACCCTAACCCTAACCCTAACCCTAACCCTAACCCTAACCCTAACCCTAACCCTAACCCTAACCCTAACCCTAACCAATTAAGCTGATTGGTTCAGGTTAGTGGGAACTAGGTTCAATTGGGTTCAGTTGTCAGTCTTCGATCTGTCCCACATTAATCCCGAGCTGATCATCATGGGCCCCGAATATCCTGCGGGAAGAACCTGTATTTTTACTTCACGACGTCCGGATTTCAAATCAACATCCTCAATAACATTAACATTAACAATCCTTCCTGATCAGGATCTGTCTCTATTAGCAATTTCCAAAATATCCTGACTCTCGTGGAACATTTCACTGAATTAATTATTACCGGTTCTTTACTACCCCTTGCCCGACACTGTACTCGTATCTAAATCTTACCCTTTCCCGTATGTTACCCTTGTTGATTTTACTTTTAGCCGACCCTGACATATGGGGGTGATTTGAGGTATCCCGCAAATGAAGCGGTATGCAGTACAATACAAAACAGTTACAGTAGATGTTGGAAGGTGTATTTACACTTGCTTCCTGGACCTGGCTGTTCCTCAGTTTCCCTGATCTGTTCTTGCCCTTCTTCGAACTGTAAATGGGCCATGAGACCAAGTAGACGTTTTCGTGATAAACTGTAAAACCTCTCTATACCGGGTTTCTCACGGTATAAAGCGTTTCATAAACCTCATTAAGAGCCATATAATATATACGTACTGTGTCGTATTGTGATTGAATATAGCTCGATATGTATTACTACTTAGTTTACATCACCCACCAAATGCGATATGAACAACTCGGTTTGATTGTTGAGGAAAAGAAGAAGTCTGGTAATACAGGTAGGCCGGTTTAGATTAGCACAATTGACGGTACAGAGAGGTTTTATTTATTACAAATGTGATTATCTTAACCCCACTGATTCATCATTGAAATCAATAAAATGACAGTACAGCAGGCTATCGTTTCGATCTTGACTGTGCCATTGGTGCAGTTTCTGTGAAAATCGATAAGGCTGTATTGTAATTAGTTATGAAACTCTTATATCGCGATCGTATGGTTAAACTTAACGTTTTTCAGTTTCAGACCTTTCCACTTAGAGTTAGTAATTCCTGATTATTACTAAAATCTGCCGAGATTTACTAAACTCCAACTACAAATATTGGTGATTTAAGTATTCTTGAAACGAAAAATTGACTAAGTTTTTTTTGAAAATCATTTTTCTCCGCGTTTCATGCAATTTGATCACTTTTGGCGGAAAAAAATATTTTGAATTTTCTGTTTTCGAAATTTTTCGAAGTCTCGAAAAAAAAAATGTAAGTGAAAAATTTTCAAATTTTTTCTAAAAACTACTTTTCTCCGTGTTTTAAGCTATTCCGATCATTTTTAGCCAATAAAAAATTTTTAGAATTTTGCTAATTGGTTAATTGATAATTATCCAATTAACTTATTATCTGACGTAAAAATTGTTAGGACAAAAGTTTTTCTTCCTGATAATATGAACACACTCGATTGATTCGCAACCTTTTACGATGTTCACAACTAAAGATATTCGACAAACAAGAAAGGTGGTAAAAAGTGGTAAAGTGGCAAAAAGTGGCCTTAAGCCACGTGGAAAAGTTTGGAAAAGTTGGTCAGCCATAAAGGGCACCTAATGGGACTCAAAAACGTCAAAAATCCTTTGTAAGCTTCGTGTGTCAGCAGATCGATTTTTTCAGACGGATTTCCCTGTACTAAGAGCTAAAATCCCGGTTCCGGTCCTGGTCAAATTTGGCTGATCCCGGCCAATTTCAAATTGGATAAAAAATCCCGGTCCCGGTCAAAATTGACCAATCCCGGTCCCGGCCATTTCAAATTTCTTATCCCGGTCATTTACTGGCCCAACATTACCAGTGTTTAGCTGTTTGTCAAGATATGCCCTCTTCTTATCCTCCCTGAGAAAAGGAGGGCACACTTCCAGGAGTAGTCTGAAGATAAGCATCAGTATCCCTATAATAAACACTATGATAGCCAGATTATCCGAGCTGATACTTCCTCCTGTAGGTTGTGCAGTCTCTCCGTGGATACTATCCAGCTCTCCCGACATACTGTTAAACAGAGTGTTACTATGGTAACTAGTAGTGTAACTATGGTGACTTTAACATACTGTAAACAGAGTATTAAGTCAGACTTTCATGTCAATACAGTGAAATACACAAGATAAAACCTATTGCCAATTTTATAAACAATCAACAATGACAAATTCCTAACAAATTCCTAACAAATTCTTGAATTCTTAACTGCTGTCGGATAGAGAGAACTGACTGAAAGCCACTATAGATTAAAACAAGCTGTAATTTCAAAGAAATGATTGAAACGCTACTTTAGAATTTTTAAACACCGTATACTTACTGCAATAGGATTGGGTGTTGTCAAAGAAAGGGGTAGCGTATAGTCTATCTATCGTGTGGGGCGTATCGTACACAATTTGCATTGTTTATGTTCTAATTATGCCTTGAAGTGTTGAATTCTGGCACGTCGTTAGTCCCACATCCAGAAAGTCGGCTAATCGGCAGATAATCTGGGAGGCAATTTTAGATTTTAGAGGATTTTTTGTGTTACAGAGGAAAAATTTAGAGGACCTGACCTTTTTTGGGGCATTACAAATTTTTAGGGGGAGGGGGAGGGGTTGATCTGCAAGGAAATTTAAACTTTCTGGATGTGGGTAATTCTAAGTAGGATTCTATAGTGGCAATTACAATAGCTATAATGATTCTAAGTGGTAATATACAATAACACTATTGTAATATTATACAATGTGCCGGCTTTTGGGGTGGGTATGATTTAATAGTTCAATGATAATAGCCATGTAATGGTGTTTTACCCAGTAGCATTAAAATATACCCAACAAAGTTCAAAGATACACATTTAAGTCATTCAAGCGAGACTTAGTATGGAAATATCAAGTGTGCTTTTTATCGCAGTTCAATCAACACTAAACACCAGGATAAGTTTAAATAATACTCAACTTTACCCTCAATTACCATGACAATAGGTTACTAGGTTACTAGGTTACTAAGTTACTAGGTTACTAGGTTACTAAGTTTAAATAATACTCAAACTTCCCCTCACCTTCTAAATGCTAATGCTTACTTATCTAACTATCTTTAAACTACATGTACTAATTGTTACTACTACTACTATTACTACTATTACTACTACTACTACTACTAAGCTACTATTACTATTACTATTACTATTGCTATTGCTATTACTATTACTATTACTATTACTATTACTATTACTATTACTATTACTATTACTATTACTATTACTACTATTACTACTACTGCTACTACTACTATTACTATTACTATTAATATTACTATTACTATTACTATTACGATTACTATTACTATTACTATTACTATTACGATTACTATTACTATTACTATTACTATTACTATTACTATTACTATTACTATTACTACTACTACTACTGCTACTAATGCTAACTACTTCAGAGATGACGAGTTGAAGGAGTATTTAGGAAAAGCAGCAGCCCTGTCGCCTGACCATCCAGTTGTTATCAGCAAGTTTATCATGCAAGCCAAGGTTAGGGTGGCTAACAGTTGTTATCAGCAAGTTTATCATGCAAGCCAGGGTTATGGCTTTATGGTGGCTAACATTTGTTATCAGCAAGTTTATCATGCAAGCCAAGGTTAGGGTGGCTAACAGTTGTTATCAGCAAGTTTATCATGCAAACCAAGGTTAGGGTTGCTAACAGTTGTTATCAGCAAGTTTATCATGCAAGCCAGGGTTAGGGTGGCTAACAGTTGTTATCAGCAAGTTTATCATGCAAGCCAAGGTTAGGGTGGCTAACAGTTGTTATCAGCAAGTTTATCATGCAAACCAAGGTTAGGGTGGCTAGCAGTTGTTATCAGCAAGTTTATCATGCAAGCCAAGATTAGGGTGGCTAACAGTTGTTATCAGCAAGTTTATCATGCAAGCCAAGGTTAGGGTGGCTAACAGTAGTTATCAGCAAGTTTATCATGCAAGCCAAGGGTAGGGTGGCTAACAGTAGGGGGCTTTATGATTATCCTCTTTTGAACAGCCGTGCTTTGTTTTGGCACGCTCATATATTGCATATTTTAATGAATATTGTATATTATATAATATATATATTATATGCACTATTTTTAGAGGATACTATGTATTTTTATACATGCTTATGAGTTATGAATAATTACCTGTATAATTATGATAAATAATTTATTCTACAAGATACTCTACCCAGGAGATTGATGTAGACGCTGTAGCGTGTAACGGGGAGGTGCTAGTAATGGCTATCTCAGAGCACGTGGAGAATGCAGGAGTACATTCCGGGGACGCCACTCTTATCTGCCCACCACAGGTACACACTGCACGTGATACATATCACTCTTATCTGCCCACCACAAGGCACAAGTACACACTGCACTTGGTTACACTTCTTCAAACTACCTTCCAAAGTATTACATTATTATATTTGAAAGGTGTTGGGCTGAAGTTCTGGACCATTTACAAAGATGTAATATCCGGATCTTCCTCTCTAAACAAGAAATGCGGCCGCTTTTCTTTTGTGGATGGCCGCTCAATTTCCCGATCCGTGATGGCGTATTTATCATATTCCATACAACCTGGGGACGGCCCAGTCTTTACTGTTTATATAAACATGCAAATATGGCGAAGTGACATGCCGACTGCCGAGCGCCGCCCAGTTAATATAATTCTATATTGAATTTGAAAATCGTGTATACTTCTATGTAACCATATGTTTATTGTTTTAGTTTATGCAACCTGACACGGATCTGTGCAAAATAGTAATACTAACTCAAAATAATAATAATATGCTATCAATTAGTGCCTAGTGGGATACGTACATGATGAAATTAATAATGTACTTGGTTGGTTCAGCGCCGCGCGCCAACAATTATATAATTCAGATTATCACGCAAATTAACTTTGCGCAGGTAGTCACGTGGGCGATAACAGTGCTCGCAGGCACGTACGCACGCACGCACGCACGCACGCACGCTCGGTCGCAAAGCTACCATATACAAAAAAAAACTTCGATCGCTAACCCTTGTCCTTGACTCTTTTGTGCCTTCGGCACGAGTCATGGATCGGGAAAAAATAAGAAAAGGTTACAAACCTATAACCATTGCAACAAGTACTGCAACGAGTACAAGTGTAACTCTAACTGTTACTCTAGAACTGTTACTCTAACTGTTACTCTAACTGTTACTCTAGAACTGTTACTCTAGAACTGTTACTGTAACTGTAAACTGTAACTCTAACTGTAACTCTAACTGTAACTCTAACTGTAACTCTAACTGTTACTCTAACTGTTCTCTAACTGTTACTCTAACTGTTATTCTAACTGTTACTCTAACTGTTACTCTGACTGTTACTCTAACTTTTACTCTAACTGTTTCTCTAGAACTGTTACTCTAGAACTGTTACTCTAGAACTGTTACTCTAACTGTCACTCTTAATGTTACTCTAACTGTTACTCTAACTTTAACTGTTACACTAACTGTTATTCTAACTGTTACTATAACTGTTACTCTAACTGTAACTCTAACTGTAACTCCAACTGTAACTCTAACTGTAACTCTAACTGTAACTCTAACTGTAACTCTAACTGTAACTCTAACTGTAACTCTAACTGTAACTCTAACTGTAACTATAACTGTAACTCTAACTGTAACTATAACTGTAACTCTAACTGTAACTCTAACTGTAACTCTAACTGTTACTCTAACTGTAACTCTAACTGTTACTCTAACTGTAACTCTTAATGTTACTCTAACTGTTACTCTAACTGTTACTCTAACTGTAACTCTAAATGTAACTCTAACTGTAACTCTAACTGTTACTCTAACTGTTCTCTAACTGTTACTCTAACTGCTACTCTAACTGTTACTCTAACTGTTACTCTAACTGTTACTCTGACTGTTACTCTAACTGTTACTCTAACTGTTTCTCTAGAACTGTTACTCTAGAACTGTTACTATATATGCTACTCTAACTGTTACTCTAACTGTTACTCTAACTGTTACTCTAACTCTAACTGTTACTCTAACTGTTACTCTAACTGCTACTCTAACTGCTACTCTAACTGTCACTCTTAATGTTACTCTAACTGTTACTCTAACTCTAACTGTTACTCTAACTGTTACTCTAACTGCTACTCTAACTGTTACTCTAACTGTTACTCTAACTGTTACTCTAACTGTTACTCTAACTCCTCAGGATATGAACGAAGAGACTCTGTTGAAGATAAGGAAGGTGTGCAGAGCAGTGGGTCACGCCCTACAAGTATCAGGCCCCTTCAACCTGCAGATAATAGCTAAAGAGAACAACCTGAAGGTTATAGAGTGCAACGTGCGAGTGTCTCGCTCCTTCCCATTCGTGTCCAAGACCCTGGAGGTGGACTTTGTAGCTCTCGCTACTAAAGTGATACTGGGGTTACCTTGTGAGCCCATTACCCCTGATCCCATGACTGATTCTCGGAGGATTGGAATTAAGGTTAGATGATATTATATAATAATATATAATATGATATAATATAAGTTAGATAATACGAGCAGGGTACCTTTAGATATTAGATAAGGTAACATAATACAGGGGGGGGGGGGGGGCAAAAGTCAGTACCCATACGTTGGGTCTTAAACCACTGCCGTGTTTTATATTTGAGAGTTGTTGCTTTGCAGATGGCATACTGTACTTACTACCTACTTGTTCGAGGATTCCGTCACCAAAATTTAAAAATTCGATTTTTCGGGACCACACCTAATTAACATTGAATTGCTTATACTGTTTTGTGAACATGTTAGAGATTCCGTTGTAACATATTGCAATAGGTCATTTGACCCGGAATATAATCTGAAAAGATGGTGTAAAACAGATTTAAAATGACGAAGTTATCAAGCACTTTGTTTATCTCGTTAGCAAAATTGATTGGGTACTCAATGATTACCCAATTACGACACTGTAATTGGGCTCTCTGCACGATCTAGCCTCAACCATTCATCTGAGAAGCTGGAACTCTCATTTTTTCAGGACAAACGTAATTTTTTTAAATCTCACACTTATTTTACTTCGGAGTATTCCAACAGCCACATTGTTACACAAGTGTAACTAGCCAATTACAGGAAGCCGAAGGATTTAATTAGGCCAGTGACGGTTAAGGTAGTGTGTACCATACTTTCTTCGCCCGAGACTTCGCTGCAATGTGCAGCTCCTCATTTAACCCTCACACACGATTTCTAGAATATTCGGCTGAGTAGACCGGGGGGCTGCATAGACCACTCAGGATCTTTAGCTGAATGTCGACGACACTCACCCCACGACTAGGCAGGCAGTGGGTTTCGAACTCGCAATCTCACGATTACAAATCCGATGATTAACCAACTACGCTACCTGGCCATTTAAATGGCCAAACACCATTCAATAAAATTTTGCTCGATCCGACTTTCCAAACTATCAAATAAATGCGAAAATGAACCTTCATTTGCAAAAAATGAACACCAATATTTTTCCTCGAACCAGTGGTGGTAGTTAGTCATACCAGAAAGAATTATTTCAATTGGGCACTCAGTGACTGAGCTATTAAGGCCAACGTATGGGTACTGGCTTTTGCCCCCCCCCCCCTGTATTATTAACGTTTATGGAGTATTTGTCGCGGAATTATAATTTCAATCTTGTGTAATGTATCTACCGACCTATCTTGCTAGATCTATTTATTTAACTATAAAAATGACCAGGACCCTAATGTAATGTAATAATATGTATTAAGATAATATATACAGTATATAAAACATATTATCTCAATCTAATAAAATAACACCCCCCTTCCCCAGGTAGCCCAGTTCTCCTTCTCAATCTAATAAAATAACACCCCCCTTCCCCAGGTAGCCCAGTTCTCCTTCTCAATCTAATAAAATAACACCCCCGTTCCCCAGGTAGCCCAGTTCTCCTTCTCAATCTAATGAAATAACACCCCCCTTCCCCAGGTAGCCCAGTTCTCCTTCTCAATCTAATAAAATAACACCCCCGTTCCCCAGGTAGCCCAGTTCTCCTTCTCAATCTAATAAAATAACACCCCCGTTCCCCAGGTAGCCCAGTTCTCCTTCTCAATCTAATAAAATAACACCCCCCTTCCCCAGGTAGCCCAGTTCTCCTTCTCGATCTAATAAAATAACACCCCCGTTCCCCAGGTAGCCCAGTTCTCCTTCTCAATCTAATAAAATAACACCCCCGTTCCCCAGGTAGCCCAGTTCTCCTTATCAATCTAATAAAATAACACCCCCGTTCCCCAGGTAGCCCAGTTCTCCTTCTCAATCTAATAAAATAACACCCCCGTTCCCCATGTAGCCCAGTTCTCCTTCTCAATCTAATAAAATAACACCCCCGTTCCCCAGGTAGCCCAGTTCTCCTTCTCAATCTAATAAAATAACACCCCCGTTCCCCAGGTAGCCCAGTTCTCCTTCTCAATCTAATAAAATAACACCCCCGTTCCCCAGGTAGCCCAGTTCTCCTTCTCAATCTAATAAAATAACACCCCCCTTCCCCAGGTAGCCCAGTTCTCCTTCTCAATCTAATAAAATAACACCCCCGTTCCCCAGGTAGCCCAGTTCTCCTTCTCAATCTAATAAAATATCGCCCCCCTTCCCCAGGTAGCCCAGTTCTCCTTCTCAATCTAATAAAATAACACCCCCGTTCCCCAGGTAGCCCAGTTCTCCTTCTCAATCTAATAAAATAACACCCCCCTTCCCCAGGTAGCCCAGTTCTCCTTCTCAATCTAATAAAATAACACCCCCGTTCCCCAGGTAACCCAGTTCTCCTTCTCAATCTAATAAAATATCACCCCCCTTCCCCAGGTAGCCCAGTTCTCCTTCTCAATCTAATGAAATAACACCCTCGTTCCCCAGGTAGCCCAGTTCTCCTTCTCAATCTAATAAAATAACACCCCCGTTCCCCAGGTAGCCCAGTTCTCCTTCTCAATCTAATAAAATAACACCCCCGTTCCCCAGGTAGCCCAGTTCTCCTTCTCAATCTAATAAAATAACACCCCCCTTCCCCAGGTAGCCCAGTTCTCCTTCTCAATCTAATAAAATAACACCCCCCTTCCCCAGGTAGCCCAGTTCTCCTTCTCAATCTAATAAAATAACACCCCCCTTCCCCAGGTAGCCCAGTTCTCCTTCTCAATCTAATAAAATAACACCCCCGTTCCCCAGGTAGCCCAGTTCTCCTTCTCAATCTAATAAAATAACACCCCCGTTCCCCAGGTAGCCCAGTTCTCCTTCTCAATCTAATAAAATAACACCCCCGTTCCCCAGGTAGCCCAGTTCTCCTTCTCAATCTAATAAAATAACACCCCCGTTCCCCAGGTAGCCCAGTTCTCCTTCTCAATCTAATAAAATAACACCCCCGTTCCCCAGGTAGCCCAGTTCTCCTTCTCAATCTAATAAAATAACACCCCCGTTCCCCAGGTAGCCCAGTTCTCCTTCTCAATCTAATAAAATAACACCCCCGTTCCCCAGGTAGCCCAGTTCTCCTTCTCAATCTAATAAAATAACACCCCCGTTCCCCAGGTAGCCCAGTTCTCCTTCTCAATCTAATAAAATAACACCCCCGTTCCCCAGGTAGCCCAGTTCTCCTTCTCAATCTAATAAAATAACACCCCCGTTCCCCAGGTAGCCCAGTTCTCCTTCTCAATCTAATAAAATAACACCCCCGTTCCCCAGGTAGCCCAGTTCTCCTTCTCAATCTAATAAAATAACACCCCCGTTCCCCAGGTAGCCCAGTTCTCCTTCTCAATCTAATAAAATAACACCCCCGTTCCCCAGGTAGCCCAGTTCTCCTTCTCAATCTAATAAAATAACACCCCCGTTCCCCAGGTAGCCCAGTTCTCCTTCTCAATCTAATAAAATAACACCCCCGTTCCCCAGGTAGCCCAGTTCTCCTTCTCAATCTAATAAAATAACACCCCCGTTCCCCAGGTAGCCCAGTTCTCCTTCTCAATCTAATAAAATAACACCCCCGTTCCCCAGGTAGCCCAGTTCTCCTTCTCAATATAATAAAATAACACCCCCCTTCCCCAGGTAGCCCAGTTCTCCTTCTCAATCTAATAAAATAACACCCCCCTTCCCCAGGTAGCCCAGTTCTCCTTCTCAATCTAATAAAATAACACCCCCCTTCCCCAGGTAGCCCAGTTCTCCTTCTCAATCTAATAAAATAACACCCCCCTTCCCCAGGTAGCCCAGTTCTCCTTCTCAATCTAATAAAATAACACCCCCCTTCCCCAGGTAGCCCAGTTCTCCTTCTCAATCTAATAAAATAACACCCCCCTTCCCCAGGTAGCCCAGTTCTCCTTCTCAATCTAATAAAATAACACCCCCCTTCCCAGGTAGCCCAGTTCTCCTTCTCAATCTAATAAAATAACACCCCCGTTCCCCAGGTAGCCCAGTTCTCCTTCTCAATCTAATAAAATAACACCCCCGTTCCCCAGGTAGCCCAGTTCTCCTTCTCAATCTAATAAAATAACACCCCCGTTCCCCAGGTAGCCCAGTTCTCCTTCTCAATCTAATAAAATAACACCCCCGTTCCCCAGGTAGCCCAGTTCTCCTTCTCAATCTAATAAAATAACACCCCCGTTCCCCAGGTAGCCCAGTTCTCCTTCTCAATCTAATAAAATAACACCCCCGTTCCCCAGGTAGCCCAGTTCTCCTTCTCAATCTAATAAAATAACACCCCCGTTCCCCAGGTAGCCCAGTTCTCCTTCTCAATCTAATAAAATAACACCCCCGTTCCCCAGGTAGCCCAGTTCTCCTTCTCAATCTAATAAAATAACACCCCCGTTCCCCAGGTAGCCCAGTTCTCCTTCTCAATCTAATAAAATAACACCCCCGTTCCCCAGGTAGCCCAGTTCTCCTTCTCAATCTAATAAAATAACACCCCCGTTCCCCAGGTAGCCCAGTTCTCCTTCTCAATCTAATAAAATAACACCCCCGTTCCCCAGGTAGCCCAGTTCTCCTTCTCAATCTAATAAAATAACACCCCCGTTCCCCAGGTAGCCCAGTTCTCCTTCTCAATCTAATAAAATAACACCCCCGTTCCCCAGGTAGCCCAGTTCTCCTTCTCAATATAATAAAATAACACCCCCCTTCCCCAGGTAGCCCAGTTCTCCTTCTCAATCTAATAAAATAACACCCCCCTTCCCCAGGTAGCCCAGTTCTCCTTCTCAATCTAATAAAATAACACCCCCCTTCCCCAGGTAGCCCAGTTCTCCTTCTCAATCTAATAAAATAACACCCCCCTTCCCCAGGTAGCCCAGTTCTCCTTCTCCCGCCTATCAGGAGCTGATGCTCTATTAGGAGTCGACATGGCCTCCACTGGAGAGGTAGCTGCTTTTGGGTACGATCTCTACTCAGCTTACTTGAAAGCAATGGTCAGCTCCGGGTTCAAACTACCCAAGAAGTACATCTTACTGTCTATTGGTAGTTATAAGGTATGTGAACTATTAAAGGTGTGTGGATAGTTTATATTGTGATAGTTGATTGTGTTCTATTGTGATAGTTGATTGTTGGGCACAGTGCCAGAGTCGCAAGCATGATATTAACTCAACATGTAAACAAGAGCTTGCCACACTGACTCACTCGCAACGTTTATATTACAACTTAAACATCATTCTTCTGATAAATATTATCAATGGTTTTGCAGATAGCACCGTCATATTATGACCATTTCCATTCATAGCAGAAAGGTTTTATGGGGATTCCATTAATTTTACTTCATAGAAGAACTAGATTGTAATGGGGTAGTTGTATTGTAACCAGTAAGTTCCTTTATTAAAGTCACGTATCACGTGATCTGGACCATGTCGTTACCATGACAACAGGGGTGAGCGCCGCCGCCGAACGCCGCCGCCGAGTTTTTAGCCCACGCCGCTGCGCCGAACAATTTATCGGCGGCGCAAACGGCGTGAACGTGGTATTTTTAAAATTTGAATTTTCAAAAAATTACTCAAAAAAATTTAATGAAAAGATTTTAAATTTGAAAATTATATGATATGTTCTCTAGCATGTCTGACGTCAAGTAGTTCGATGTAGCATATGCAATGTTTCATGAAATTGTGAATTCCTGTCATACGATCAACGATGAATTGAAGTGAAATTTGCAACTGTCTAAACCTTATTAATACTATTACTAAGTCAATCCTTTACCTAAGCAATGAATTTCCATTTTGTCGAGTCACAACTGAAACTGCCAATTGTCCACAGGCCACGCCGCCGAACGCCGCCGCCGCCGTTAATTTTGGCCACGCCGCCGCCGATTTTGGTAAAACACGGCGGCGCACACCACTGCATGACAATAACATGTTGTTACCATGACAATAACCTTTTGTTTGCAGGGTAAGCAGGAGATGCTGGACAGTGTTAAGTTGTTGCACAATATGGGCTACACTCTCTACGGATCGTCTGGTACTGCTGACTACTACAACGAGCACGGGATTACCGTACGTGACTATATTATACTGGTTACTACTAGTATACTTATAATAATACTCATAATATATTAGAAAATGTATTCAGCAGTTCAATATATTATCAGATTGAATTAGTTCTGCATCAAAGATCTGCATCTTAGATCTGTAATAACACAATTTATAAAGCTAGTATAACACAACCTCTGTAATATTAACACAATATTATAACAGTGTTATAACAGTGTTAACACACACAACCTCTGTAACAGATTACCTCCATCTCGTGGCCGTTCAATGAGAACGGTGAGGCTAGCTCCAGCGACACACCCAGTATTGGGGACTACATGTCCTCTCAGCACTTCGACCTTGTCATCAACCTTCCACTGGGTATGATATACGCGCGGCTTTGCGCACGTGCTGCTGTGATCCCTGCACGTGCTGCTGTGATCCCTGCACGTGCAGAATAAAGCATACTTCGTTTACTTTGTATACTACTTTAGCACGATAAAAATAAGATAATAAATCATATTACTGGATGTAAAATCGTAAATTTGAGTCTAGAGACAAAAAAAACATTTATTTGGTTATGTTATCTTATTAAAAGACATGTAAATTCAATCGTTATCAATTTTAAATTTATCCACCAACAACGGGTAATTTGTGCCAGAATTTTCAACATTACAGCAGTTAATTAAAATTCAGTATAACTTAACAACCTCTTTTCTCAGCTCACAATGTGTACAGCAGCTACAGTAGACAGAAGAAGAGTAAATCGTACGGTTATTTAACAAGACGAATGGCTATTGATTTTGCTATTCCTCTCATCACGGATATCAAAGTCGCCAAATTGTTTGTTATGGTGAGCTGATGATACAGTAGTAATTATATTACACTATACTACTATTACTAGTGATATCAGCTGTAGTAATAAAGTTTAAAAATGTATAAGTCTACATCTCGAAGGACATTGCAGATTTTGTACTGTGTTATATTCGATAATGGTACAGTAATATACCCAACAAGTCAGTTCTGTAACCCCCCACAACTTGCTGTAACCCCCACAACTTGCAGTAATCCCCCACAACTTGCTGTAACCCCCACAACTTGCAGTAATCCCCCACAACTTGCAGGCGGTGTACAAATGCAGAGGACCGCCTCCTTTGTCGCTGTGTGACATCCTCTCCACACGCAAGACCATCACCCTCCCCGGTCTAATAGACGTGCACGTGCACCTGCGCGACCCCGGGGCTACCCACAAAGAGACGTTCACAACAGGCACCTCCGCCGCGCTGGCTGGTGGTGTGACTATGGTGTGTGCTATGCCTAATACTAACCCGCCCATTGTAGACAAGGAGTCGTTCGAGCTGGCTAGTAAGATAGCTACTAGTGGGGCGGTGTGCGATTATGCACTGTTCGTGGGGGCTAGTCTGACTAATTGGGGCGAGGTGTGCGAGTTAGCGCCGCAAGCTGCTGCTCTGAAGATGTACTTGTGCGACACCTTCACTACTCTGAGACTGGACGACAATACTGTCTGGTTGAAACATCTACAGGTACTTTATTAGCACTTACTACTAGTATAATAGTATATTATATTAAAGTAGTATTATTTAAAACACTTATTATTATTATTTCAATAAATATCAAACTTAAATATTAGTTTTTCTCTTCGTCATGCCTAGTTATAGTGATAGCCCATTTGCTATTTTCTTATTATTAAGCATATTTTATTTCAGAACTGGCCCGCACAGTACCCGCTGTGTATCCACGCTGAACAAGCTGAACACACGTGCAGTTTACCAGCTATATTGTTCCTGGTATCTGTTGCTAGGCGACCAGTGCATATCTGTCACGTGTCTAAACGTGTAGAGCTGGAACTCGTCATCACTGCTAAACAAGCTGGTCAGTTATTTTATTATTATATTTATTTATTTTTATTCCATTAGGGATCGTTCATATATTACGTAATATTATTACGTAATCACTTTTTGGCCAATTTTTAATAGATACAGGCCAAATTGTAACATGTCACGCGATTGTAACATGTCACGCGATTGTAACATGTCAAACGATTGTAACATGTCACGCGATTGTAACATGTCACGCGATTGTAACATGTCACGCGATTGTAACATGTCACGCGATTGTAACATGTCACACGATTGTAACATGTCACGCGATTGTAACATGTCACGCGATTGTAACATGTCACGTGATTGTAACATATCACGTGATTGCCCAGGATTGCCGGTTACCTGTGAAGTGTCTCCCCACCACCTGTTCCTGACCAATCAGAGCACAGTACTCAACTCTGCTGTAAGACCTGCTTTGGGCACCGACGAGGACAGGCAATTCCTGTGGGATAATCTCAAGTTCATTGACATATTCGCTACTGATCACGGTTAGTAATCTTTCCTCTTTGAGTGTATTGTTTATTAAATACTTTTAAAATTTTACAGCAATAACAAATAAATGATCTTAAATAAAAACCGTTTTATAAAATATGATGGGTTCCCTCCTTCCAAACACGGTAAACACATCGTGTACTATGTCCGCAATCACTTGGACCCATAGATTTAAATATTAAATGTGTTTTAATCAGATCCCATTATATTTAAATTTCGTCGAAAATCTGTTAATATAATTCATCAGGATTAACCATTACATCTGCTGATCCTAAAACGGTCTTAGTTAATTAACTATAGAGTAAGGACTATGGGACCTTAATTAGAAGAATATAATCTAATTAAGGCCAATAAATTTGGTTCGCAATAAATTTGGTTACAAAAATGTTGGTTACCATAATTTTAGTCACAAATTTCGCAAATTTTTTGTCTGCAACAATTTTAGTCAAATGTTTTCGACTTTTCGAGACTATTTTCCATTCCATTTATTTGATTTTTCCATTATTTAGCTAGTTTTTTTTTCGTTTTCGCACGTATATAATATAATATAGCAGCGGTTTTAAAGGCTAAATTATTCTAGAAGGGATCGTTTCACATGATTACTAGATAAGAGAATGTGAAAACATAAAAGCAGTGGATTGCACATGTAATAATCAAAGTAGTTATGTGCCGGCTATTTTCTCTAAATGACCGTTTATTTTGTTGACTTGGTTCCTAAATACTTCCAAGTCTCGACTCTTGTAGATGATTACCAATTCTTGGTAATAGAACAATACCTTTACTCCTGATTAAGACTGCAATTTGGTAATTGTGCTATGTGCTGTTCGGCTAAAACGGTGGTTTAGTCGGCGGCATCTTATCATTTGTGATTAATAATGAGAGCCTTGATTTAACCTTTAATATGAGCACCAATCACTGCTCACTCGACCGTCCTTCCGAGCACCTCTTCCATCGAATAGGGGTGAAAACAGTTCCGTACAAATTAACCCTCTACCTACTTCGTTATTCCGTTAATTAAGAAACCTAGAAAAGAGAACGATAAAGAGCACTAATTATCACAGCAACATCGATAAGATTAAATTTAAATTTGTTAATTTTTTTCCGGTCAGACTTTTATTAACTCAGTTATACTTCAAGAGTAAAAAGCAAAAGTTATGCGGTTTGTTATAGCAGTACCACTGGCGCTGTGAACATATGCCTCAAACCGAACCGTCTGGTCGTGAACTGATTTAGTGGTCTCTTGGCCTTAGTTTCCACATTTCTATAAATATATAGCTATATATCTTAGAAAATGTATTATAGTTTAAGCTTACCTTTCTTATAAAGTTGGTTTCATTTGCAAATATTAATATTTGACCAATTTATGGGCCAAAGTCTATTAAATTTGGTGCATATGCCCAAATATGGGCATATGGTTTTTTTGCTCATAACTCAGTCATTTTTTGTCCTATTTGGATGAAAATTCATAATATAAGAGTTCAAGGGACCATTAGCTAATAGCTACAAGTTCCGACTAGACATATGAGGGCTATAAACATCATCTTGTTCTGGTTTTTATTCCAGAACAAGATGATGAAGTGTTACCATGACAACACTAACTTATTTGGTAGTGTTACTATGACCACAAGTTTAGTCGTAGAGTTTAAAGAAGAGACATGGGGACAACAAATGAAGAAAGATAGTTCAAGCAGTTGCAGTAAAATTTTTTAAAAAGTTTCAGTTTTACATCTTTTACGGCTTTTGCGGAACGTCGTGTGGAAGTTGATGCCGTGATGTCAGTAAAATGGTACGGATATTATATACATATACGTATATACTAGTGTATTCGTCTCTCCTTCATCAGACACAGGTTTTCTTTCAGCATTCGATGTCGTATCACGGTTTTCGTCTCTCCTTAGTCCAGAGACAGGCTTTCTTTCAGCATACCGTGTCGTATCAAGTTTTTATCGTCTCCTTCTTCAGAGACAGGCTTTATTTCAACATACCGTGTCATATCACGTTTTTATCGTCTCTCCTTCTGCAGAGACAGGCTTTCTTTCAGCTTACCGTGTCGTATCAAGTTTTTTATCGTCTCTTCTTCTTCAGAGACATGCTTTATTTCATCATACCGTGTCATATCACGTTTTTATCGTCTCTCCTTCTTCAGAGACAGGCTTTCTTTCAGCTTACCGTGCCGTATCAAGTTTTTTCGTCTCTCCTTCTTCAGAGACAGGCTTTATTTCAACATACCGTGTCATATCACGTTTTTATCGTCTCTCCTTCTTCAGAGAGAGGCTTGCTATCAGCATACCGTGTCGTATCAAGTTTTTCATCGTCTCTCCTTCTTCAGAGACATGCTTTATTTTATCATACCGTGTCTTATCACGTTTTTATCGTCTCTCCTTCTTCAGAGACAAGCTTTCTTTCAGCATACCATGTCGTATCATGTTTTTATGGTCTCTCCTTCTTCAGAGACTGGCTTTCTTGCAGCATACTGTGTCGTCTCTCTTTCTTCAGAGACAGGCTTATTTCAGCATACCGTGTTGTATCATGTTTTATCGTCTCTCCTTCTTCAGAGACAGAATTTCTTTCAGCATACCGTGTCGTATCAAGTTTTTTCGTCTCTCCTTCTTCAGAGACAGGCTTTATTTCAACATACCGTGTCATATCACGTTTTTATCGTCTCTCCTTCTTCAGAGACAGGCTTTCTATCAGCATACCGTGTCGTATCAAGTTTTTTTATCGTCTCTCCTTCTTCAGAGACATGCTTTATTTCATCATGCCGTGTCATATCACGTTTTTATCGTCTCTCCTTCTTCAGAGACAGGCTTTCTTTCAGCATACCATGTCGTATCATGTTTTTATGGTCTCTCCTTCTTCAGACTTTCAGAGACTGGCTTTCTTGCAGCATACTGTGTCGTCTCTCCTTCTTCAGAGACAGGCTTATTTCAGCATACCGTGTTGTATCATGTTTTATAGTCTCTCCTTCTTCAGAGACAGGCTTTCTTTCAGCATACCGTGTCGTATCAAGTTTTTATCGTCTCTCCTTCTTCAGAGACAGGCTTTATTTCAACATACCGTGTCATATCACGTTTTTATCGTCTCTCCTTCTTCAGAGGCAGGATTTCTTTCAGCATACCGTGTCGTATCAAGTTTTTATCGTCTCTCCTTCTTCAGAGACAGGCTTTCTTTCAGCATACCGTGTCTTATTAAGTTTTTATCGTCTCTCCTTCTTCAGAGACATGCTTTATTTCATCATACCGTGTCATATCACGTTTTTATCGTCTCTCTTTCTTCAGAGACAGGATTTCTTTCAGCATACCGTGTCGTATCAAGTTTTTATCGTCTCTCCTTCTTCAGAGACAGGCTTTATTTCAACATACCGTGTCATATCACGTTTTTATCGTCTCTCCTTCTTCAGAGACAGGCTTTCTTTCAGCATACCATGTCGTATCATGGTTTTATGGTCTCTCCTTCTTCAGAGACCGGCTTTCTTGCAGCATACTGTGTCGTCTCTCCTTCTTCAGAGACAGGCTTTCTTTCAGCATACTGTGTTGTATCATGTTTTATCGTCTCTCCTTCTTCATAGACAGGCTTTCTTGCAGCATACCGTGTCGTATCACGTTTTTATCGTCTCTCCTTCTTCAGAGACAGGCTTTCTTTCAGCATACCGTGTCGTCTCTCCTTCTTCAGAGACAGGCTTTCTTTCAGCATACCGTGTCGTATCTTGTTTTATCGTCTCTCCTTCTTCAGAGACAGGCTTTCTTTCAGCATACCATGTCGTATCATGTTTTTATGCATATGGTCTCTCCTTCTTCAGACTTTCAGAGACTGGCTTTCTTGCAGCATACTGTGTCGTCTCTCCTTCTTCAGAGACAGGCTTATTTCAGCATACCGTGTTGTATCATGTTTTATCGTCTCTCCTTCTTCAGAGACAGGCTTTCTTTCAGCATACCGTGTCGTATCAAGTTTTTATCGTCTCTCCTTCTTCAGAGACAGGCTTTATTTCAACATACCGTGTCATATCACGTTTTCATCGTCTCTCCTTCTTCAGAGACAGGCTTTCTTTCAGCGTACCATGTCGTATCATGGTTTTATGGTCTCTCCTTCTTCAGAGACCGGCTTTCTTGCAGCATACTGTGTCGTATCACGTTTTATCGTCTCTCCTTCTTCAGAGAGAGGCTTGCTATCAGCATACCGTGTCGTATCAAGTTTTTATCGTCTCTCCTTCTTCAGAGACATGTTTTATTTCATCATACCGTGTCATATCACGTTTTTATCGTCTCTCCTTCTTCAGAGACAGGCTTTCTATCAGCATTCCGTGTCGTATCAAGTTTTTTATCGTCTCTCCTTCTTCAGAGACATGCTTTATTTCATCATACCGTGTCATATCACGTTTTTATCGTCTCTCCTTCTTCAGAGACAGGCTTTATTTCATCATACCGTGTCATATCACGTTTTTATCGTCTCTCCTTCTTCAGAGAGAGGCTTTCTATCAGCATACCGTGTCGTATCAAGTTTTTTTAATCGTCTCTCCTTCTTCAGAGACATGCTTTATTTCATCATACCGTGTCATATCACGTTTTTATCGTCTCTCCTTCTTCAGAGACAGGCTTTCTTTCAGCATACCATGTCGTATCATGGTTTTATGGTCTCTCCTTCTTCAGAGACCGGCTTTCTTGCAGCATACTGTGTCGTCTCTCCGTCTTCAGAGCAGGCTTTCTTTCAGCATACTGTGTTGTATCATGTTTTATCGTCTCTCCTTCTTCAGAGACCGGCTTTATTTCAGCATACCGTGTCGTATCACGTTTTTATCGTCTCTCCTTCTTCAGAGACAGGCTTTCTTTCAGCATACCGTGTCGTCTCTCCTTCTTCAGAGACAGGCTTTCTTTCAGCATACCGTGTCGTATCTTGTTTTATCGTCTCTCCTTCTTCAGAGACAGACTTTCTTTCAGCATTATATATCGTGTCGTAACAAGTTCAGCGTCTCTACTTCTTCAGAGACATTCACTATTTCAGTCAAGGTATTTATCCTTATATTTATTATTGGTTTTATTTATTTATTTATTTATTTATTTATTTAATTTTTAAATTCAAATTTTTATTTTATTTATCAGTTTAATTTGAAGCACACTTGGACAAATAGTGCCTCCCATTTTGTTATTATTATCTAGATAGGTGATAGGTTTCATGGACACTGGATCTCAGCAACACACAGAAGATACTACCTGTTATAGTTATAGAGTCTAGTGAACTCTACCCACAGGTCAGTCGGGCAGTGGATCACACTCTGATGACATCTCCTTTTGGAGATTTTCGGACTCTCATACTACCTAGTTGAGTGTGTTCCATAACCTAGCACCCTGCCTAAACGTCCAGTACTCCTGGACCTATGTGGCAAGCCTGCTCCCTGAACAAAAAAAAAACAAAAAAATTCCGGCCTTCGGTCGGGATTTCACTGCCGCAATTAAATAAAGGGTAGGAGTATTTACCCGCCTAGTCAAAACCCGCATTAGGTGAGCAATTCTATTCGGAGTGCCCTCACGTATCCAATAGTATCTTAAACAATAGTATCTTAAACAATAATCAATAGAAATTAACCCTTATTGACTCCGCACCACACCCGTATATTTGAGAACATGCATTACATTGTCGTATGAAAGTTTGAAGTCTCTCTATAACAGTCCAAACAGACCGCTATGAGCGATCCCTCCCCTAATATAAGTTTGTAGTAATCATGATTGTAATTATGATATATGTACCAACGCTACATAATATATGCAGTAATAGGATAGAGAGCGAGCCCCGTAACCCTTACCGTTTTCTTGATTAAGCTGCTCAAGCCATTTTATGTAACATTTGTGGTACAAAACCATCAATTAAACCACTTACCACCGACCGATTTAAAAAACCTTTACCATTTGGCTTCCTCATAGTTTTCTCGGCACTATACCGAAAAAACCAGTCCCGCAACTTACCGTTTTCTTGATTAAGCCGCTCGGAAATTACACACGCACACACAGACAGACGGAAAACACACATTCTGAGATTATTGTTTAAGATAACTACAAGCGTGTTTGTTTCTCCTTTCAGCAAAGTGCTCAACTAATAAATAGGAGCTTTCTATAAGCGTGACAAACGATAACATCGTTTACTTTGTCACGCTTATATAATATATATATAATATCTAACTAATAATCCCAGAATGTGTGTTTTCTGTCTGTCTGTCTGTCTGTCTGTCTGTCTGTCTGTCTGTCTGTCTGTCTGTCTGTCTGTCTGTCTGTCTGTCTGTCTGTCTGTCTATCTGTCTGTCTGTCTGTCTGTCTGTCTGTCTGTCTGTCTGTCTGTCTGTCTGTCTGTCTGTCTGTCTGTCTGTCTGTCTGTCTGTCTGTCTGTCTGTTTGTAATTTCCGAGCGGCTTAATCAAGAAAACGGTAAGAGTTGCGGGACTGATTTTTTCGGTAAAGTGCCGACAAAACTCTGACGAAGTTAAATGATAAAGGTTTTTTAAATCGGTCGTTGGTAAGTGGTTTAATTGATGATTTTGTACCACAAATGTTACATAAAATGGCTTGAGCACAACGGTAAGAGTTACGGGGCTCCCATATGTAGCTGCATAATTAATGTCATTGAGTTACCCGGGTAAGATTTGCTGTCTATACTATAATCTTATTAGGGGAGGGGGCACTGTTTGGACTGCAGAGAGAGAGAGAGTTCATACTTTCATACGACAATGTTATGCGTGTTCACAAATATGATAGGCGGGTGTGGTGTTAAGGGTTAATTTCTATTGATTATTGTTTAAGATACTATTACTATTGTTTAAGATACCATTGGATACGTGAGGGCACTCCGAATAGAATTGCTCACCTAATGCGGGTTTTGACTCAACGGGTAAATTATCCTACCCTTTTTAACTGCGGCAGTGAAATCCCGGCCGAAGGCCGGGTTACACTAGTACCTATATATAATAGTAGTAGGATTTTGCCAATAACTACATGCTTGAATTGTTTCAATGTGTTTTTCCATTCATTTTTCTGCCAGATAGGCACTGATTGGATATTTTCTTAAAGAGCTTACTATATACGGAGCTGCAGCTAAGCATATTTTCGATTAAATTGAATCATTGTATTCAAAATTTGGCTCATTCATGTGATCCATCCTGTAGGTTCTAGTTAACTCGTGGGATACAATAGTATGACACTCGTGGGATCGGTTGATCACTACTCGAACTTGAGGTCCAGATCAGACCTTGTTCATAATATTGGACGTTATCCAACCTTCTAGAGTTATTATAGAAGTTATACTTCTAGAGTTATTAACGCTAATGGCCTTTTCCTTGGGACACCCCGTCGCGTACTAATAAGATTAGAGTGTAGATTAGATACCACAAATTGAAAAGACTTGAACTTGACCTAAATGTACTGAAACATCACTGAGTGCTGAAACAGAACCACCTTACCTAGACTTGAAATTAAATGGTTCGCTAAGTTGATTTAAGGTTCCCATAAAATGGTAACCAATATGGACCAGATAGCGTAACTTCAGATAATAATCATATAACTGGAGGTAAGGTATAACTGAGTGCAAATTATCTGATTTTATTATTATTCCATTTCGAACCATGTTGATGTGCGTTGTACTCCTTGGTTTGGTGAATGCTTACAGGTGAGACTTTGATGTTTGTTTTTTATTAAATACTTTTAAAATTTTAATACTTCTTACTAAAAAAACTTTTCATCATTATCTGCAACATAACCATTAGTCATTACTGGTTACTATGGTTTAGGAACCGACCGGATATCCGGCTGAATCCGGATCCGGCCGGATATCCGGCTTCAATATCCGGTTCGGGTCCGGTTCCAAAAATGTTTGCCGGATATTTCTTCAAAAAAATGTATTTCTAAAATCTTGAAATGCATATATTTTTCGTCACATTTTAACTCGAATCCTTAAACAAAAATTGCGCCCGTTGTTTCGTTTTGGCGGACGCTAGATTTCCATTTCACTATAACTATTAATATAAGCTCTAATCAGCTCACCTTATAATAATAATATTGAAACATCAGTACACTACGCGTGCCACGTTCAAGTTGGGCAAGTTGACATGGTAACGAACGGAAGTAAGCAAGCAAGGAACACGACATATATTTGACCCACCTACTGCAATCCCCAAAATCCACGTTTTTCTGCAAAAACGCCCATTCGTAACCTTTCACTATTGCCTTTTTACAAAAAGGTGAAAAGGAAAAAATCAAAAAATGTTTGACTAGGTGCGGACTTCAAAAAACCGAAAAATTATTTTCAGGTACTAATGAACAGGGTAGCATGAAACGTGGAGAAAATTGGTTTTCAGAAAAATTTCAGGTTTCAATTTTTTGACTTGGAAAATTTTCGGTCCGAGTCATTCTTGATACGTACCTTTGAGGGCAGAGCTCCCGCTTCCGAGCTTGTGTTGCAAAGGGAGGCCTCCCTGCCGAGATCGCATTACCATCGGTAAGCCTCGAGTCCAAAATTGTGTATCGAAGGGTAGGTGTGGACTTCGGAAAACTGAAAAAATATTTCGGGTACTTAACTAATGAACGGGGTAGCATGAAACTTGAAGAAAATTGGTTTTCAGAAAAATGTTGGACAAATTTTGACTTGGAAAATTTTCGGTCGGAGTCATTCTTGATAAGTACCTCTGAGGGCAGAGCTCTCGCTTCCGAGCTCGTGTTGCAAAGGGAGGCCTCCCTGCCGAGATCGCATTACCATCGGTAAGCCTCGAGTCCAAAATTGTTTATCGAAGGGTAGGTGTGGACTTCGGAAAAAATATTTCGGGTACTAATGAACAGGGTAGCATGAAACTTGAAGAAAAGTGGTTTTCAGACAAATTTCGAAAAATTATGACTAGGAAAATTTTCTGTCCGAGTTAATGAACAGGGTATCATGAAACGTGGAGAAAATTGGTTTTCAGAAAAATTTTGACTTGGAAAATTTTCGGTCCGAGTCATTCTTGATACGTACCTCTGAGGGCAGAGATCCCGCTTCCGAGCTCGTGTTGCAAAGGGCCGAGGGGAGGCCTGCTTATAAAATTTTCGGTCCGAGTCATTCTTGATACGTACCTCTTGATACGTCTTGTGGACAAGTGCATGCTGGTGCAGAGACTAAGAGTTACGTATTAAGGTTAAATTTGTGATCAGTCTGTATTTTTGTTCTACATCTGCATCTAAAATATCGTGGTCCGAGTAGAACTGAACCAGCTATACAAAGTTAAGGTTCTTTGATATTTCTTTACATATTGTGTACGTGGCCTCGAAAAGGGTTCGAGAAAGCGGCGATTATATCTCTTCTAGCTTGCTGTCAATTAAGTGAATAATCACTGCTGTTTGAGCGAAATTGCTTTCTCTTTTACACAAAAACACAGTTGCAGTCTTGAACGGTACGAGAGTCTTTAACTAACTCAGTCCCTCCTGCATCCAGTTTTAGATTGCCTTGCTTCAAGTCATCCAAAACTTAGTTCACTGCATCAGTTATCCGGTCATATCTCTCCAGCATACTGCACAGCGATCTCCAACGAGTTTTGCAAGATTTTAATTTTCACGGCCACAAATATGTACACACTGCACAGCACGTACCATCACACTGCAAATTATAGTAGCACTGGAGTTGAACCTTATAAACAAAGACACAGATTCAAAAAATATGTTAAATTTTTGGTCATTCTCCCCTAATAACAAGAATTGCGCCCGTTGTTTTGTTTAGTTGTGGAGGACGCTAGATTTCCATTCACTACAAGATCAGGGGGGGGAAGGATCATGTTTTTTGTCCGTTTTTGGCGGACAAAAAATAGGGCGGACAAAAACGGACAAAAAATGGAAATAACATTTAGATGCTTCCTTCTCCTTCTCCTCCTCCTCAGTCCTCCTCCTCCTCCTCCTCAGTCCTCCTCTTCCTCCTCCTCCTCCTCAGTCCTCCCCCAGTCCTCCTCCTCCTCCTCTTCCTTAGTCCTCATCATCCTCCTTCCTCCTCATCAGTCCTCCTCCTCAGTCCTCCTCCTCCTCCTCCTCATAGTCGTCCTCAGTCTTCCTCGTCCTCAGTCCTCGTCCTCCTCCTCGTCCTCCTCAGTCATCCTCATCCTCAGTCCTCCTCGTCCTCCTCACCCTCCTCCTCCTCCCCCTCATCAGTCCTCCTCAGTCCTCCTCGTCCTCCTTCTCCTCCTCAGTCCTCCTCCTCCTCTTCCTCCTTCTCAACCTCCTTCTCCTCCTCAGTCCTTCTCCTCCTCCTCCTCTTCTTCCTTAGTCCTCATCCTCCTCCTCCTTGCTCATCATCAGTCCTCCTCCTCCTCATAGTCGTCCTCGTGCTCCTCAGTCTTCCTCGTGCTCAGTCCTCCTCCTCTTCCTCGTCCTCCTCAGTCCTCCTCGTCCTTAGTCCTCCTCGTCCTCGTCCTCCTCACCCTCCTCCTCCTCCTCCTCCCCCTCATCAGTCCTCCTCCTTCTCCTCCTTCTCCTCCTTCTCCTCCTCAGTCCTACTCCTCCTTCTCCTCATCAGTCCTTCTCCTCCTTAGTCCTCCTCCTCAGTCCGATCCTCCCCCAGTCCTCCTCCTCCTCCTCCTCCTCTTCTTCCTTAGTCCTCATCCTATCCTCGTCCTCCTTCCTCCTTCCTCATCAGTCCTCCTCCTCAGTCCTCCTCCTCCTCCTCCTCATAGTCGTCATCGTCCTCCTCAGTCTTCCTCGTCCTCAGTCCTCCTCCTCCTTCTCTTCTTCCTCAGTCCTCCTCCTCCTCCTCCTCAGTCCTCCCCCAGTCCTCCTCCTCCTCCTCCTCCTCTTCCTTAGTCCTCATCATCCTCCTTCCTCCTCATCAGTCCTCCTCCTCCTCCTCCTCAGTCCTCCTCCTCATAGTCGCCCTCAGTCTTCCTCGTCCTCAGTCCTTGTCCTCCTCCTCGTCCTCCTCAGGGAGGGTCCAAGGGGAACTTTGGGGAACTTTGGGAAAGTCCCCCAAGATTTCTAAAGTTCCCCAAAAAAAAGTTCCCCAAAACTCCCCAAAGTTCCCCAAAATTCCCCAATATTATTCAAAATTATTCAAAATTTCTCTTATATACGGACACGTTCATTTGAGTTTGAGGATATTGGTAAATATAAGTGACCCTATTAAATGGCACAGTGTAGTTGAATTTGTCACACTATGAAATTACACAAACCCTTGATGGTTAGGATAATCGTCTCATCCTCTAGGCTAACTTTGTCACTTAACGATATCTTAATCAGGTGATAAGATATCGCTTAAATACGGCCGGCACGGAAATGGTTACATTGTCACACTATAAACATGTGACGGAGTAAATATGGACCCCTTGCTGCCGTTTTTGACCAAATTTGTGAGTGTCCAGTTGATTGGATGGGTACATATGACCATTACCTACATATTTGACGACTTTTTTCGTTAGATGGTGCACTCAGGTTTACTCTGTCACACATTAAAGAAAATATGTGATGAATGTTTAGGGCACCCTGATAAGCAATGCTGAGTAGTGTAGGTTTATTTGATGGCCTGAAAGTGCTGGGAATTGTTATTATATCATATAGTCGTAAGGAATTAAAACACAGAAGGCACAACCAAGTTTACTTTGTCACATAATCTTGATGATATCTGAACATGTGTGAAATTGAACAAATAATGATATACCACCTTAAACTCCTTATATTACGTACTATTGATCAAACAACACTGCTAGTACCATGCACCAGTCACATGAATCATTATCAGGTGGTAATATGTTAACAGTGTCACAATTAAACTACCACAACATGGTCAAAAATAGGATAATTTCGTCACAAAAAAATTATTATAACTCTGTTAGCTCCTTGCTGGCAAAATAACTTATCGAAAAATTGTTGATGATTAAGTTTCATAGTATTCTAATAGAGGTATAGTTCTTCAAAATAGGGGCAAGACATGTTTACTTTGTCACATCAGTTATTATAAGAGTTAGGTAATCGTCATCAGATTAAAAGATATTTATCGTAGTTTGGATCGATTAATATACCTGTAATAAAGCACCCTATGCCAATTTTAACGTGCACTATCTTGATATTGTTGGGGCAGGGAAAGTTAATTTTGTCACATTTTCAGTGTAATTGACAAATTAATCTAAAATTGTTAAAATTGAGCTCTGATGTTCTGGACAATATTCTTCCAATCGTTTCTGAAAGAATGTTGAATTCTAATAGAGTTATAGATCTTCAAAATAGGGGCAATCTACATGTTACTTTGTCACATCAGTTATTATAAGAGTTAGGTAATCGTCATCACATTAACATATATTTTGTAGTTTGGATTGATTTATATAGGCAATAAAGCATCCTAGTATGCCAATTTTAACACACTATCTTGATATTGTTGGGGCAGGGAAAGTTAATTTTGTCACATTTTTAGTGACTTTGACAAATTTAACCTAAAATTGTTAAACTTTAGAATGTTGAATTCTAATAGAGGTATAGAATATAGATCTTCAAAATAGGGGCAAGACATGTTCACTTTGTCACATCAGTTATTATAAGAGTTATTATAAGAGACTATTTCATTCTATAATCATTGTTTTTAACCTATTTACGATTTCGTATAATTTTTTGTGACAATGTAAACATCAACTGATCTTAACTTGCATCAACTACATTGTCATTATATAAAGTTTTCCCGCCTTTCAAACCAAAATCAAATATAAATAATTCGCCCAAAATTTAAAATTTCATATATTGTGACAGAATTAACCTCATTTCCCAATAACCAAGTGCCTGTATTAGCTAACTATTCAAAACGATGTATTTTAGGGCTATGATTGGTAGAGCAACCATAAAATAATGAGTTGAAAGGGTTTTTAGGACACCTCACAGTAGAATAGAGGTATGGTATCATGAGTGTGACAAAGTTACCCAAATATTGCCTTGTAACCGTTCGATCCGTGCCCATTAACCAATGTTGTATCATAATTGTAAGATTGACCTAATTTACTATATTTCAGACCAAAGAATGATAATTAGACAACTGCAGTTCACTAAGTCACACAAAATGTGACATTTGAAACATTATAGTGCCTAACAACAATAGATTTTCTTTCTGAGCGGTGCGTATGGGAGTATGGGTTACGTGGCTAATGTTCAGAACTTCTGAACATGCTAGGTTAATAGATGTCAAAATTAAGCCACTATCGTCGAAAACGCTGTTATTTTTGTTTACCAATATCCTCAAACTCAAATGAACGTGTCCATACATTAAGACCCATTAATGTTAACATGTATGTTATTATAAGGTATAATCTTAACTTACTTGTTGATACTTGCAGCATGATAATTATTTGGCATGATAATTTTTTTGGAGAATTTTGGGGGACTTTCTGAAGTTCCCCAAAAAAAGTTCCCCAAAATTATTCAAAATTTCTCTAATTTACATTAATACCCATTAATGTTAACTTGTATGTTATTATACCATTATATAATGGTATAGTCTTAACTTACTTGTTGATACTTGCAGCATGATAATTTTTTGGCATGATGATTCTCAATAGAGCTGTAAGTTACCTTACTATCTGATTTTTTGCATTACATTTGGTTCAACTCCTGTATCATCATTTATCATTGCTCGGTGCAATTCAAATATAGTTGTGCTTACTGCTCAATTTCGTAAGAATGCTATACAGAGCACGTATAGATATGTAAATATATAAAATAAACGAAAAAAACAAAAAACAATACCTACAATCATTGGTAGAATCTGATAATTTTTTTGGGGAACTTTTGGGGAATTTTGGGGAACTTTGGGAAAGTCCCCCAGGTTTCCTGAAGTTCCCCAAAAAAAAGTTCCCTAAAGTTCCCCTTGGACCCCCCCCCCCTCCTCAGTCCTCCTCGTCCTCCTCAGTTATCCTCATCCCCAGTCTTCCTCGTCCTCCTCATGTTTTTTGTCCGTTTTTGGCGGACAAAAAATAGGGCGGACAAAAACGGACAAAAAATGGAAATAACATTTAGATGCTTTCTTCTCCTCCTCCTCCTCCTCAGTCCTCCTCCTCCTCCTCCTCCTCCTCAGTCCTCCCCCAGTCCTCCTCCTCCTTTTCTTTAGTCCTCATCATCCTCCTTCCTCCTCATCAGTCCTCCTCCTCAGTCCTCCTCCTCCTCCTCCTCCTCATAGTCGTCCTCAGTCTTCCTCGTCCTCAGTCCTCGTCGTCCTCAGTTCTCCTCGTCCTGAGTCCTCCTCGTCCTACTCACCCTCCTCCTCCTCCCCCTCATCATCCCTCCCCCTCCTCATCAGTCATCCTCATCAGTCCTCCTCATCAGTACTCCTCCTCCTCAGTCCTCCTCCACCTCCTCCTCCTCTTTTATCTCTCAATAATTTGTTCAATTTATTGTTTGTGTTATTGTTTACACAATTTATTGTTACTAAAATGTTTTTAAACGCGTTTGAGTCTATAACATATTGACCTGTTACTGTTACTGACTCAAAGTGTGCTCAAGAACTTTTGTGTTTAACAGAGTTTTACTCTCCAGTACTATGGAAAAGTTGTTCATGTTACACGATATTTTTCATAAATTAAGTGATTTTCATCCCTTTTTGGAAAAATGTGTAGATTACTATTCTTTTTACTATTTTACCTAACTGAGGATTGAAAGTTTGAGAAAGGACCATGGTCATTAAAACCGTGCTACCCATTTTTGCAGATAGCCTGTTACAAATTGTGGAGACAATTTAAATCAAAAGTTACAATTTTTGTCCGTTTTTGTCCGTTCGGTACCCTATTTTCTGAAAACGGACAAAATCGAATGGACAAAAACGGACAAAAACTAACATGATCCCCCCCCCCCCCCCCCAAGCTCTAATCAGCTCACTTCATAATATTATGCTTCAAATAGGGAAACACTTGTGATTCAATTCAATTGCCGTAGCATAACTTGTATTTATAATTTAAGAAATTGTAAGCAAAAAATGAACTATACTCATGTTTTATACACATCGGTTATATACTAGTACTTCGCGTGTCACGTACAAATTGGGCGTATTGCCTTATACGTATTGCCTTATACGTATTGCCTTATACATTAAAATACACTTGCACCCCGCATGGCATACGCTGACTACAGGCTATACATCACATCTCCGCAAGCAACCCTTACATGCTGCGCGCGTATTTCTCGTTGTCATGGTAAGTGGTAACGGACGGAATGACGACATATCTAAACCCACCCACCTCGTTCTCCAAAATCCCTATTTTTCTGCAAAAACAACCATTCGTAACCTTTCACTATTGCCTTTTTACAAAAGGTTGGAATAGAAAAAATGTGTTGATTATCGCGATAATTCTTAAAAATTATCGTGATAATCGATAACGATTGTTGAGAAATTATCGCCGATAATTATCGGCCGATAATATCGGTTGGCAACCCTACATTTCGGTCGGTTCCTACTATGGTTTCCATTACATGATGAGTAAATTTGTTGATTGAATAACACGTACCTAACTTTAACAACCTCAAGCGGCAACCTGGACGAGACAGCTGATGCAATACAGTTTGCAATGTTTGGAGGAGACGATACACCTACACCTACACCTGAAACTAGAGTGTTTAACTACAAGGCAGGCCCCAACGCAGTCCCCAATAGTATCATGTCAGACGCCACATTAGGCACCGAGTCAGACGACGAGTCAGACGACTTTCTAGACAGCATGGTAGACAGCTTGTTAGGCACCCCCTCCCCCGTCATTTCTTACTCATTTTCTGAGTTGAGTTATATGGCAGTCGCGACAGCTCCTCTTCAGAAAAACAACTTCTACACGCCCATAGAAGACCAGATCCCCCGAGTTATGCCTTGTCAAGCTGTAAAGTGTCACCAGACTACGGTGGTCGTGTTGGACTCGTCTGGGAGTATTGGGTCTGTTGACTACTACAAAGAAATTTCCTTTATAGAGAATATGCTGAAGCTTACAGCAGTTAAAGCAAAAAGAAATAACCTGAAAATGTGTGTAGGCCTCATCTCATACTCTACTGGTGTGCATGTAGAGTTAGACCCCTGCTGCGAGAACAGTTTATGCAAGAGTATGAACCTGTTCGACACTCACGCGCTACAGTATCGGGGAGGGATGACTAACACAGCTGGGGCTCTGAAAGTAGCTAGACAGATGCTACAAGCTGCTGCTAGTTACAAGAAAGTAGCTATGTTGATTACAGACGGGCACTCTAACGATGGAGGGTCACCAATACCCATCGCTAAGGAAATGAGGGACAAGGATAAGGATGGGATCAAGATAATAGCAGTGGGGGTTACTAACAATGTCAACGATGCGGAGCTAAAGGGGATCTCAGGGAAGAAGAAAGTAACTAATATAGCTTCGTTTGATGAGTTCCGCGGGTTATCCAACAAACTGCTTAAAGCTAACAACGTGGCATCTCTGACTGAGTTAAATAGATTGTTTTGCTGCGATGTGTTCCAGTGATACGACCCTGTACAAGGACCAGTGTCCTAGAGCCAAGATACAGCCGTTTAGTTTAGTAGATGACGGTGGTAATTTGGTGGGCGTGCAGGAATTCGAGGGACTCCTCCTCTACAACGGAGGAACAGTGTGTGACGACGACTTCACTTTCTTCTCTGCTAAGAGTATCTGCAAGAGTATGGGGCGACCTCAAGGCCAGGCTACTTGGAAGTCGGGGCTGTACTACTCAGTTCAGAGCAGTCTGAGTATTAAACTGGACGATGTTGAGTGCGCTTCATCAGACTGGGACCAGTGCACCTTCAAGAATAAAGAACACAACTGTGGACACAGTGAAGATGTGCACCTCACCTGCAAAGATTAACAAACCAACACAAGACAGATGAAGAAGTAACTACAGACGGAGGAACAAAAGGTCCCTCTCCCACTTCTGCATCTCCCGCAAAGACACACTGACCCAGTGTACAACTTGATAATATGTTTGTTTGGGGACTGGTTTATTATTATTGAATATCTATTTAAAATAGTACAAAAGAACTAGTACAGTCAAATCCGTCTTTTTGTCGGACAAAATTCGCAACAAAGCGATTTTAACGGGATATGGTCGGGACAGGTCCCAGGAATCATTCCAGAGAATTCCCAAAAAATCTGACTTGAGCAAAATCCACAATTACCACTTTTTTACCACCTTTTTACCACTTTGGTTTTCCGCAAATAAGTCACGTTCTGAATATCCTAGAAGATTCTAGTTTAAAGCAGTGTGTTTAGAAAACAAAGGGGAACAACTTTTTCTTTAACAACTTTTTCAAAAATAAATTATTTAATTAATTAATTAAATAATTAATAAATTTTCAGATATTTTAAAAATATATTTTAATAAAAATGTTCACATTACATTCCACGTATATTGAACTAATTTTTATAAAAAATTTGAAAATTTTCATTTTCAATATTTTGGACTTGTAAAATTTAAAATATTTTGATCGAAAATAATTTTTATAATTTTTGAATATTTATTAAATAATTGATTTATCGAAGCAGCACTTTATATAACCAATAAATACTAGATACTTATGAGTCCTCAGCTGGCACATTGGTGCAATTGTCCTGACATTTGAGGCAGGTTGATCCACAATGTATTCCTGCTTTTCTGCATGAACAAGCATTGCCACAAGCTGACTTTAAACTTTTAAACTGTTGCAACTGATGTTTTGAATGAGCTTTTTCGGAGCTGTACTCATAAGAGTGGTCACTGGTACATGTGCTCCATTGTTCATCTTCCATCCCCAGCTTATCGGATCTAGGTCATTCTCATCCCACGCCTGCAGCTGATGGTAAACACGATAAGAATGTTGTTCAGCTGCCCCAGATGTTGGCGGGAGCTGTTCGCACTTGATGTCTGCTGTTGAAGATTGCGATTCTGTTCAAGAACTGAAAGTCTGGCTTCATCTAGTGATCTTGATTTTGATGAAATCAGCTGCAGCATCAAATGTTCTCCGACATGCTGTATGGTAGCTGGTGTAGAATTTGCCGAATAAAAAGCATCTATTACACTTTCATCGATAGATGCGATCGTACTGAATAGCCGATACTTACCAACTTCGTGGATCCGACTGGTGGTGTCTTCTTTATGAAGCAACATACCACCGTCCATTTTGAATTTGAGGGTCCTGCCCTCCAAACTCCTCGGAATGTTATCTTGTTCAGCTCCAGATAACTCTTCAACTAAACCTAATTTCTCACGTATAGTTTTAGCCAATTGCGACTTGTTAGATGCCAATAGTTGCTCACTTGACTGGTAAAGACTGGGAGGGTAGGTTACTAGTTCGTGTTTCATCGTTTCCTCTAACGAAACTGTGTCTTTTTTGAATAGGGCCGATGTTAACATCCTATAGAACATTTTTATTTGGGTCAACGACCCAAATCGTGGGTCGTTGTTTGCGAACATGCTGTAAACTGCACATTGCAATAGGCCATTACATTCGGAATATGATCTGAATTCTGAAAAGATGGCGCGAAACAGACTGAAATGACGAAGTCATCAAGCAATTTGTTTATCTCGTTAGCGAAATTGATTGGGTAATCAATGATTACCTAATCGCTAATCATGCGACAGGGTGCTACGATACCGTAATTGGGCTTTGTGCACGATCCCTATAGGTGGGAATCTAGGTGCACTAAGCTACGGAGAAAACAATACCCTAACGTATGCCCTCCTACTAAAGGCCCTTTGGGTATGAAATTAATCTAATCAGTGTATTTTTGACGCTGACTCCGAATCGCCCCAAGACGTAGGGTAAAAATGCCTAACGTATGTGTACTATACCACCTCCCCCCTCCCCCCACACAAAACTTACCCTGCCAGTAACCCGACTTGAGGATTTATCATTTGGTGCGATCTCTAGGTTACAGAATGGACATTTGTTTTAAACTATGTTCGTGAACTAAAGATGGTTCTGCCTCAGTTAAGTTACAACAGACTCATCTTCATTGGCCGATAAGAATCTTTGGAACTGGTCTATGGTCACTGTTTGCAATAACACACATAGACGTCACTCTGAGCGGAATCGGTCAGGCCGTTGTACTGCCGTTTAATTTCGTTCAGTGACCAGGGGTTGTTGATCCAATCTGTGGTGCAACAGTTTCATTATATTTATACAGAGTATGAAAGGCTTCAGGACTGTAACTATCCGTTTCAAATTTGCTGGCATAGTTTAAAAGTTAGTGCACTTACTAAAAGATAATTAGTTAAAAAAAGGAACCTGGGGACAGCAACCCTTTCCGTATTTCATTCCTACAAATGTACTTTGTCGATCAATCGCCTCTTAAAGCTATTCACCGGAATTAACTCCTCATTTGCCTGGTAAATTATATACATTGTATTGGTTAAGAATGCCTCTAGTCGCGCTCCATCCGCTGGACATCAAAACTTAATGTAATACGGTAAAAACATATTACTATTATTGTATATCAGTTGACAGCTACTTACATAGAATCTGCCCGCTTACAGTATCAGGCACACGATGTGTTCTTCTGTAGTCAAAATATCCGACTATTCTCGGAGTGATCAGTCCTACGATTTCTAGGCAGGATTCAACTTTTTGACGAAGAGGAAGTCAACATAAATTAAAAGTTTGATAGCTTACAACCTCCAAACGAACCAGTTAAGATCTAGTTTAAAAGCCAACACAAGTCGAGAGATGATGGGTTGTAAATAGGTTATTATCTATAATATAATAGTATCGTACAAATTTTGATATTTTACCGTTTATTCCATTTATCTGCATCTCTTTCTATCTGTTATCTAATCTATGTGACAGTCGTTTGTTCTTTTATTCAAGTAAATTCATTTTACGTGTTACGTCACGGCAAAAATGTTTGGTAAAATTATATTTTTGAAATTTTTAAAAATTTTACTTATTATCTTAATTAATTAATTGATTAATTATCTAATCCAAAGGTTGGGCGATAAAAGTTGTTCTCTTTTATATTTTGAACACATCGGTTCAATCTAGAACCTTCTACGACATCCAGAAGTCGTTTTATTAGCGGAGATCCAATGTGGTAAAAAGTGGTAAATAGTGGTTATTCTATACAAATTTCGAAATTTTTCAAGTCCAAAATATTGAAAGTGAAAAAATTTCAAAATTTTTATTAAAAATTAGTTTAATATACGTGAATGTAATTGTGAACATTTTTTATGAAAAATATATTTTTTAAAACTATTTGAAAATTTATTAATATTTAATTAATTAATTAATATATTTATTTTTGAAAAAGTTGTTAAAGAAAAAGTTGTTCTCTTTTGTTTTCTAAACACACTGCATTAACTAGAATCTTCTAGGATATTCAGAACGTGACTTATTTGCGGGAAAACAAAGTGGTAAAAAGGTGGTAAAAAAGTGGTAATTGTGGATTTTGCTCAAGGTCAGATTTTTTGGGAATTCTCTGGAATGATTCCTGGGACCTGTCCCGACCATATCCCGTTTAAAATCGCTATTGTTGCGAATTTTGTCCGACAAAGGCTCAAATAAGGACGGATTTGACTGTACTAAACCCAAAATATAAAAAAATGTTATAAACAAAAATTTACAACAAAAATCTAATTCGCAAATTTTAGCTTGTTCTCAAGAAGCTTAAAATGTGTAATTTGAATTATTGATAATATTTTTTTGAATGGGCGAAAAAAACAATTTGAACTGAAAGACTATTTTTTATGGATCGATTTTAGGATTTATTGAATGAAAATTGTTAGGCGATAGAGATATTATTTTCCATGAAAAATTATTTTTTGTTAAGACCAAAATATTGTATTTTCTCATCGTTGTAAAATTGATGTAATGATTTTAGTTTTTTTGAAGAATGAACCCTCAAAACAAAATTTTAAAACGGAGTTATGTTATGTCAATATCTGAATATTGCAAAACCATACCTGTCCGTGATCTAGTTCGTGATGTTAATCGTGACTCTTTCCTATAAATCGTGGACCAGATTCATGATCTTGTAATAGGCTAAGCAAAGCTGTGAGGTATCTGATACAGCTGTGGTTTAACTATTTTAACACTATTTTAATCAGCATAAAACGTTACCATTCTCCTTTTGGTCCGATGCACTGGAGATCTGCTCATGTAATGAGTAATCTCATTGTGATCACCAGGGTCACTGAAGCAAACCGCAGAAATCTGTAAAAAGTGATTACTGTAAAAACGTGATTACCGTTCAATCTAAAAGGCCCTAAAATATCATTATAAACACGGGTTCGTCCTTTATTAAGAAAACCATTATTATTCACTGTGACAGTTCGAGATTTCCCCAATTACTCGTTTCAATTGTCTCCTCTGGAAAAAGTCACTAAAAGCTTGGAACTCAACACAATTATATTGTCAACGGTCATGTTGCCACTGATTTCGAATTTATAGTTTTTATACATATGAAGGATCTTCGGAATATTTCAGAAAACTGATTTAATAAAATATGTCATTTGTCTAATAGTGTGTTATAGTTCTTTTATTCAAATTTCTGATTGTTTCTGAATAGACTCAGTGAAGACAGATTCTAATGGAAATAAATAGCTGAATAACGTATCGACATTTCTACGTCCATACTCATATTCTCAATAAATGTAATAGATTTTGTAGTGTTGTAATTAGTTTTAATTAGTTTTAAAACTAATTACAAAAACTCATATTTTTAATATAATGTAATAGATTTGCTAGTGTTGAATTAGTTGTTAATTAGTTTTAAACTAAATTACAACACTACAAATCTATTACATTTATTGAGAATATGAGTTTGGACGTAGAAATGTACGATTACGTTATATCAGCTATTTATTTTCCATTAGAATCTGTTTTCCCAGAGTCTATTCAGAAACAATCAGAAAATTTGAATAAAAGAACTATAAATTATGAGACTCAATAACACTACACGAATCCACCAGGAATAGTGTTTTAATAACTCCGAAAAATCATTTCTTTTCTCTTAGCTTAAGTAAATCAAGGGGAAGGGTGGAGGGGAGGGGGAGAGGAGCAAGAAGATGAGGGGGAGGGAGCAGCAGATGAGGGGGAGGGAGCAGCAGATGAGGGGGGAGGGAAGATTAGTTTTAATTAGTTTTAAAACTAATTACAAAACTCATATTCTCCAATAATGTAATAGATTTGTAAGTGTTGTAATTAGTTTTTAATTAGTTTTAAACTAATTAACAACACTACAAATCTATTTACATTTATTGAGAATATGAGTATGACGTAGAAATGTCGATACGTTATCAGCTATTTATTTCCATTAGAATCTGTTTTCACTGTGAGTCTATTCAGAAACAATCAGAAATTTTGATATAAAAGAACTATAAAATTATGAGAATCAATAACACTACACGAATCCACCAGAATAGTGTTTTGATAACTCCGAAAAATCATTTCTTTTCTCTTTAGCGTAAGTAAATGAAGGGGAAGGGTGGAGGGGGGAGGAGGAGAGGGAGAGGCAGAAGAGAGGGGAGGGAGCAGCAGATGAGGGGGAGGGAAGCCAGCAGATGAGGGGGAGGGGAGATTAGTTTTAATTAGTTTTAAAAATAATTACAAAACTCATATTCTCAATAAATGTAATAGATTTGTAGTGTTGTAATTAGTTTTAATTAGTTTTAAACTAATTACAACACTACAAATCTATTACATTTATGAGAATATGAGTATGACGTAGAAATGTTCGATACGTTATCAGCTATTTATTTCCATTAGGAATCTGTGTTCACTGAGTCTATTCAGAAAACAATCAGAAATGTGAATAAAAGAACTATAAAAATTATGAGACTCAATAACACTACACGAATCCACCAGAAATAGTGTTTTAATAACTCCGAAAAATTATTTCTTTATCTCTTTAGCTTAAGTAAATTAAGGGGAAGGGTGGAGGGGAAGGGGAGGAGGAGGCAGCAGATGAGGGGGAGGGGAGCAGCAGATGCGGGGGAGGGAGCAGCAGATGAGGGGGGAGGGGGAGCAGCAGATGAGGGGGGAGGGAGCAGCAGATGAGGGGGAGGAGCAGCAGATGAGGGGGAGGGAACAGCAGATGAGGGAGGGTGGGAAGCAGCAGATGAGGGGGAGGGAGCAGCAGATGAGGGGGAGGGAGCAGCAGATGAGGGGGGAGGGAGCAGCAGATGAGGGGGAGGGAGCAGCAGGATGAGGGGGGAGGGGGAGCAGCAGATGAGGGGGTAGGGAGCAGCAGATGAGGGGGAGGGAGCAGCAGATGAGGGGGAGGGAACAGCAGATGAGGGGGAGGGAGCAGCAGATGAGGGGGAGGGAACAGCAGCTGATGAGGGGGGAGGGAAGCAGCAGATGAGGGGGGGAGGAGGAGCAGCAGATGAGGGGGGTAAATCCTGGTAAACAATCTGATTATGTTTTTATATCACAGTATATCGTGATGATAGGTAGTAGTATAGTTAATGTATAGTTAATGTATAGTTAATGTATAGTTAATGTTAGGGAATTAAAATTTAGTTAAGTTATTAATTATTTAGTTAATTTTAAGTTAAAATAAAATTTAGTTTTTGTATGTTAATTTATAGTTAAGTAAAATTTAGTTAATTATATTTTAATTTGGTTTATTAAGTTTTTAATAAAAAAATTATAGTTAATGATAGGGTTTAATTGTAAAAAGTATAGATTGAAAACTTTTCCTCCACACGTCGAGGAAAAAAAACCCAACCAACCCCCAGGGTTTCCCCGGATTGGAACAGTTCCTTTTTACTCTGAAAACTGCTTCTAGGAAGGTTTGGAAGGGGATGTTATTATATTGAAATTTATATTTTAAAAAAACTTAACATTATATATATCCTTCCTTTTTATATATATCCTCTTATTTTTAAGGGCTTTTTTTTACTAAAATATACATTAAAAGCAGGGATTTTTAAGTGTAGTGCAAGTTTAAGTAATGATCTACTATAAAACAGGAAATAGAACAAGGGAGTTTATTACTTTTGTTATGGATGAGGTAAGTATCCACATTTAAAAATTAGTTACTGTTCAGGACTATACTGAGATGCCACCAACCCCTCAAGAATTTAAACCCCCTGAAACCCGAACCTTTTTAAGGGGGACTAGGGAAGTGGACTATTCCCTCCGCTTGAGGGACGTGGGGGCGGGGGGGGCCAAAAGGGGGGGGGGGTTCCAAGTGGGGGGGGGGGGGGTTTCCCAAAAAGGGGGGGGGGGGGTTTAGGGTTTAAATTTTTACCTTGTTTGGGGGGGGGGGGACCTCCCAGGTGTTTTTTAAACTAATTCCTTTTTTCCGGTTTTCTAAAGCTGGTTGGACCCCGTTTGAAGGAATGGAGTTAGGGGTGTCTTAAAGTGGGCCTCGAGGAAACACTGTCTTTATTGATGGCAAGGTACAGTGTTGTCATGGTTACAGTAAACCAATACAGATAGCTACTGGTATACAGAGACATACTAATAATTATTGATCAGCTGATTTGTTAATAACTTAGTTATATTATTGTTTATCAATTAAATAATAATAAAACAAATATTTAATAAAACAAATATTTATTTTTACGGCACAATCAAACAATATCAATAATAAATAATCCAGGGGAGGTTTGAAGAGGTTTCAAGTGCCGAAGGCCACTGCTTATCTTTAGGATTTGAGAGTGACCTGTGCTTAAAACCCCCTCAAACCATCACTACGTCAATATACTTATTATACAAATATAGAAAAATATAATTATCTAAGCTAAAATTGCTTATTGGTCTAGTTTGGTGACATAGGAGAGCCCAGTTGAGTTTTAGTTTAGGTTTATGTTTAAATCATAGTTTGAAAGGTTAGCCATGTTTCATGGCAGATAGAGATATCATGTGTGCAGAGCCGTACCGGATGTAGAATTTGAGATATAATTATATAGATTAGTTACTTATATTAGGGTCACCTCGATTTTGGAGGGATAGCAAGTGCTTTTTAAGGTTAGATTTAATAATGCCTGACGAGGCTGATAAGTCTGAATTTTTGGAAGAACCGGGATTATTAAGTTAACTATTTAACGAACTCGACCCCAGGTGTTAGCAGGAGCCGGGGTACGGTGAGGACGTAAGAAGAAAGTCTCTGTCAGCACAAGTACAGGACACTAGTTCCTCCGTGTTAGTTCCCAGCTCTCCCGCCAGTCCGGAGTTGACAGGGTCTAAGTTTACTAGCGAGGACAGTGACAACGGTCAGTTCAATGTTTAGTTAATTGAGTGTTTGGTTAATTGCGAGATAAGTTAATTAAGTTACAGTCGTAATAGTGTAATTAGTGCAATAGTGTAATGCTGTAATAGTGTAATAGTGTAATAGTGTCACAGTGTAACAGTGTAACTGTGTAACAGTGTAAACGTCTCTCTCAGGAGTATAAAGCTGGAGGAATGGTGACTTGCTTCCCCCAAATCTGTAGTGTTCCACGACCCTGTCCGCAAGCTTACAGCTGTTTGTATTAATTATATTAGTAGTAATAATTAGTGTGTATGTTGTGTTTATAATTAGCCAGTTTAATCGACGTGATGATCGGTTCCCGACAGAGGTCACCCTTTGCGGAAAATAACTAGCGAGATTTAGAGGAAGCATCGACGAAAGCAAAATAGACAAAGTTTGGGCAGTTCGGCCAATGGTAGGCAGGACAAGGCACCAACACCTTAATCCTCAAAGGAGAAGACCAAGTGAACATGGTTTTCATACTGTACTCTTTATAATATACTGTACATTGGTTTTTATTTATTATTATTTACTGAGCAAAATGGTCTCATGTTTCCAGTGCATGGCGATGGAATATGAACTACGTGCGCGGGAGTGTTTACACATATCATGCAACTCTAAGAATGAGCACCTGGCTACGTGCCAATAATATCGCCCCCATCTCTAAAAATTATACAGTGTAAAATAAGCTCATGCGCGAGTCTGTCGACTTCAAAGTGATACAATAGAGTCCACGACCTGAAAAACTAAATTAGAAGAAGATCTAGAAGTTAAGAAAAGAGTTTTAGGTTACCAGCTGTAGAAAAAAAACTGAGGAAATGGAAGAGTGAAGACAAAAGTAAAGTCAAAATAAAACTTCAGCGCAAATGAAATAGTTGATGGCTTTATGGAGTGAAACACCAAACCGTGAGCAGACTTCGTTCTCTACGAGACCGGACTTCGCTCTGTCTAGTCTGTATATAAGTGGATCATTTACCTGCTGCACATGACCAAATAAAAGAAATAATTAAGTGTTAAAATCCAAACTGGTCATAATTCAATATTCTAGAGAACAAAAGCTAGTGAATGTGAGTATTTTGCTGATCGCTGGTGGTGTCCAGATCTCTAGGGCAACAAAAATACGGAGTTAGGAACCTGACCACAAACGTTACCCTTATACCCTAACCTTAACCCAAACCTGTAACGGTAATTCATGTAAAAAAACAAAGGACAATAAAACCAATAAAAATATGATTGTCTTTTTGCGGCTGCCCATGAGTCCTAACTACTACGACGCGCGCATTGGTCAAGTGTCACGTGACCTATGACTAACGTAAGAACTATTAAATATACTTGATCTACGTATCGCTGTATCAGTCAATTGCAGGCGCTGGCAAAGTTCCAGCACACTGCTTACTATACTTAGTAGTACATTACTTAGACCAGTTCAGAACTTGTCTTGACGGTTAAGTTACATTGTCCTGTAATTTTGTCGTAGCAATTTGTTTGATATGAGCCATGTGGAGGTGTATTATGTGGAATATGCTAAGTCATTATTACATGTGATTCTATACCGTGCTCTCTAACTATAAGAATATGAACTGTTATTATTACCAGGCAGACAGAGACACTACTCTCTAACAGACGCTAGTGGGTGTCTGAGACAGATCTCAATGACTGAGACACTGAATGAGACAGATGTGTCGCGACTTATACCTGTCGTGAGACACAACCTCAACAACAAACACATCTTAACTGTGAAGCAGTTCGATAGGAACACTGTGAGTTACACAATGTTATAATATAACATTAAGGATATTATCTGGCTGTTTAATTTTTATTTTCATACTTTGTCAAAACAAATGAGCCCCACTTAATAATAATTTAATTATTCTAATAAATGTATAATTTCAGCTGCACCAGATCTTCACAGTGGCTCACCAGTTTAAGAGGAAATTACAAACAGAGATACACACACTAGCTACAGGGTGTGTTCTGGGGACTATGTTCTTTGAGCCTAGTACTCGCACCCATCTCTCCTTTACTAGCGCCATGCAGCGCTTAGGTAGTTAAAATACTGTAACTTCAACAACACTGTAACTATGGTAACACTGTAACCATGGTAATACTGTAACCATGGTAACACTATAACCATGGTAACACTGTAACCATGGTAACACTGTAACCATGGTAACACTGTAACCATGGTAACACTGTAACCATGGTAACACTGTAACCATGGTAACACTGTAACCATGGTAACACTGTAACCATGGTAACACTGTAACCCTTGGTAACACTGTAACCATGGTAACACTGTAACCATGGTAACACTGTAACCATGGTATCACTGTAACCATGCAACACTGTAAACCACTAACCATGACAACACTGTAACCATGACAACACTATAATCAAGACAACACTGTAATCATGACAACACTGTAACCATGACAACCTTGTTTAGGTGGTACAGTGATAACTCTTAGTCCAAGTGAGAGTAGTTTGCTGAAAGGAGAAAGTGTAGAGGACACAGTTAGAAATATTCAAGGTTATTGTGATATAATGGTAATGAGACATCCTCCCCCTGGACAAGTCACTACTGCTGCTAGGTTAGTAATAGTTATAACTATATATAATATTATTTCATCTTTATTAAACCCTTTAAAACCATACTAAGTTGTGAGTTATCTTGTGACTTTATGTGCACGTATCTAACATATCCACACTACAAGGCACCTACATAAACCCTGATAAACGGGGGAGATGGAGTGGGGAGCACCCAACACAGGCTCTACTGGACGTGTTCACTATCAGAGAGGAAATAGGAACTGTTACGGAAAATAACGGTACAATATTCTCATGTATTCCTCTTAATCTGTTAATTAGGGCACACTTGAAGCCTCAAGGACTAGTGCAACACACTAATGTGGTAATATTAAGTAATTTTTACATTTAATTACACTACACAAATGACAAGGACACCAGATAACACTGATAATTACCCAGGTGACGATGGTGGAGATTTGAAGCACGGATGAACTGTTCACAGTCTGGCGAGGCTACTCACTCTGTACAATGTTAAGCTGCAATACGTGTCCCCGTCCTGAGCTGACATGCCTGCTGATGTGATAGATTATGTCAAGAACAAAGGACTACCGCAGGTAATGGATTATTTCCAATATATAGCTGATATTTTGTGGTTTAACGGACCTAATTTCATTTCCATTTGTCTAAAATAGGCATGAGACGGATTATAATATTACACTAAGTCTCTACAGCAAATCTTTAGCCCCGATTAATTTCAGACTAGCTACAGAGATCTGCTGGACGCCATGCCATCCACTGATGTGCTATATGTAAACCCGGATACAGAAAGAAAGATTCCCGTCGCCTGAGGATACGAAAAGGTTGGTTCAAAGCTCGGTCTCACTACAAAAGTGCTGGTTATGTATCACGCATTGGTTCCTTAGTATTGCGATCGCGCGGACTAATTTGAATTTTACCGCCGCGCCGCGCACGCGTGTACTGTACATGTGCTCTGAATCAGATGTGAATCAGATGTTAGGACACAAGTGGCGTGCGAGTTAATTAAAGACCTATTACCCAATTAATTAAACGCACGTTTAAGGCCAGAGTGGTTTAACGCGGATACTGCGTGGGTTATCAAATACCGTACTGTGTTACAACTAGGCATTATAATAACGAAACAAACTGGAGAGTAGGATACGTCTAAGTCAAATGCTAGTCTCAATTTTTTAAATGAGCCGCACGAATAAGTCACACTTGACACAGTTTCTGTTAACTCTGCTTCGCATGCGATTGTGGCACTGAAAAAGTTTGATGTTTTTTAATCTAAAAGAGTTTCTTTCAGGCGTTTGTTTTGAGTGTTAACTTTAGTGTGTAGGTATTATAGCTCGGAGTGATTTATGTAAAGATGTTTTGTTTTCCTGCCCAAAAGAAGTGATTTATTCTGTTGAGCGTTGATACTAACTCCTAGGTAATGGATTCCTACCTGATAACGCCTGAGACTCTGATAAAAGCTAACCTGGCATGGTTGTCATGCATCCTCTACCTCGCGTCAACCGAGATTCAGGTCAGTTCTTTAGTACAATGTTCTAGAACAACTGTTCTTTGAATCACAGCCGTTTAGTGTAAGATAACAGTGTTGGTCATGGTTACAGCGTTTAATTCATACCCCTTTTTTCTCACTTCAGTGTTGAGATAGATGCAGATCCACGAGCCGCTATACTTTAGACAAGCTGAGAACGGAGTGTATGGTTAGGATGGCACTGCTGGCTATGCTGCTGGGCAAATGTTTAGGATGACCCGGGTTTACAGTTTGTCAGAAGATCTGGACTCGAAGTCTGGATCAGGAAATGGATCTTGAGGTTATACCTTTTTTATGTAATTTTGTAGGAATTGGTTTTGGTTTGGAGAACCTGGAATTTAACATATCTTAAGTATAAAACTATATTAATTATAACATGGCGCCTGTTTTCCTCCGTTAATAGAATTTGGCAATTATTTTTTATCTACTGACATGAGAAATTTGGCGTTTTTCGTTAATTTCTTGGAAGGACGCATTCTAGCTTATCAATTCAATTTTTAGAAATGAAAATTTGATTCGTCAAGTTCCTCAATTAATCACGCACCTAACGTTATTTTCGTTTTTTCCTTTGGAGTTTGGGCGATTTTAAATCAATTAATTACGCTCGCGGAAACATTTTCAATTTACAAATGTTAAGGTTTGCTGTTTCGTTTTCAATTTACATGGCTCATAGTCATGGTAAGAAAATAAGACCGCCCATTTGTGAGAACAGGTCGCCAGATTGATAGAAGTAGTATTTCTAATGAGTATAATGTTATTAGTACTACTATTATTATTAGCCAGTCATAATCACAAATATCTAGATAGCATTAGTGTTTATCAATGATTTATAAATTATTAATATACCTCTTTTATTTATATTTCTTTATTTCTGCGAAGAATCTCAATCATCTCATCATTATCTTATTATTTCTAAAAATTAGAAGCATTCAGATTAAAGAGTTCAAGGGGGCTATATTTATGAGTCGATTTGAACTTCAGATTAAAGATGGCGCACTTTTTTTAATGTTACCCAACTACAAATGTGATATTGATAAATAAGAAGCCTTGTGATATGGCTATTAAGAAGGTGAAACCTCCCACTCAAATGTTAAGTACGGTTTGCTGTTTCGTGTGCTGGCCACGAGCGGAACAGTAGGTTACTGCTGCTAGTGCTAGCATTGTTTTAATCTAAATTTACCGTATCTATATTCGACAAATTTATCGTCTACTTTATGTCGGAGGGGTCCGGGACTTCTATGTGCAGCTTTGCTTTAAAAGAAGATATGACCTCTATTTCGGAAGAAATTTTATTTTTATAAAAACGTTTTTTTTTTAAAAAGACGCTTTTTAAAAGGTTTTATTGTAGGTTAAATTTATTACATAGCTTTAAAAGCTACATTTTATGTTTGTGTTACTTTATCTGTAGTCTGTATTAAAAACAATATTCTTAATTTATTAACTAAATGCAAAGTTTAATTTGTTGTAAACCTCTTACATTTAGCTTTACTGAAGCGGAAGTACTAATCATATAGTTGTTGTCAGCTATTAAAATTATAAGAAATGAAAACTTTTATCAAAGTGAAGTTAATAAAATCAAAAATGTACAAAGCAGCGCGCATATTTCGGATAACGGGAAATATTTTGTTTGACAGTCAAATCAAAGAAAATTGGGGCTTTCAAAGATAGTGGGCTAGAGCAAAGGTAAGCCAAAGAAATGTTTAACTTTCAAAGAAAAATTGGGGCGGGTCAAATGTCGATTAGCGAACAGTTATTGGAATCTGTGGTAGTGATGGTGGGGTCCAATCCTGAAAATTAAAGTTTGATAATAAAATGCTTTTAGGACAACATGGGACTTAAAATAATGACAGGTGCAAAGTTTATCCCGTCCCACTAATGGCTTTGTTTAATTTTGACAGGCTTTTATTTAGGGGCCATTATATAGGGTCCTTTACTTGGTGCAGTTTACTACGTTCTCGATCTGCAACTGCAAGGTAGGAAAACTCCCCCCTTTTTTATTATTATGGGCAGAATTACTGTCTTCTTGCTCGTAGGGGCGTGGTCACCAGGACCACTTTTGTAAATCAGTAGTAGTACTAGTATATACAGTAGAAAGTAGTCTCTGTTTCGTTTTGTAACAAGAATTGCGCCCGTTGTTTCGTTTTGGCGGACGCTAGTTTCCATTCACTATAACTATAAAAAAATATTCCATCAGCTCACTTTTTAATAATAATATTGATACCATCAGTAAAACTATACTAGCATGCCACCTAATAAAATTGGGCTTATTACCTAATATATTAGTATATACTACATTTTATACATTAAAATACATTTCGCGCCGCGCATTCATTGCAGGCTAGCTATATACATATATCTCCGCAAGCAATACTCGCGCGCTGCACTGCGCGTAGTTGAAAGGGGTACTAACGGAAAGTACGTACCGACGACATATTTTAACCACCTACAAACGTTTTCCAAAATCCACGTTTTCTGCAAAAACGTCCTTCGTAACTTTCACTATTGCTTTTTTAATAAAAAGGGTATTATTATTATAAAACAGGATCTTACCGACAAAAATGATTCTTAAAAATACCTTAATGCGGTTAAACTGTACCCTTGAAAAAGATTTTCCCAAATCTGTTGCATGCAGCTATATCTCTAATTTCGTTCAATTCATGGAAGTTGTCCATTTGCAAATTTCTACTACTTAAATCACTTCTTAAAAACCGATAACAAGTTCATTCTAGGTCTCCCCAATTTCCAATAAATAAATTATCTGATTCAATAGCAAAAGAGAGACCCCGTTTGGGCTGGGTGTCTCCATACTCTGAGAGGGTGTCCAAAATTTCCACGCTGGTGTTCGATACGCTTTGATAACTTTTCAACTTTGCACCTTTTCATAAAATGCTTTGTTGCTTATCATCCCTTTAGGCCATTTGATGTTTTAAATGGACCTGAGGGGGCTACGTGAAGTGTGTCCATTTTCTCTTTGGTTGCTTTTTTGGATCCAACTATTTGAGTTGTAAATTAATACATTTAGTAAGGGGAAAAGTGGTTTTTCCGTTGGATTCGAATGTTCACAAGGATTTCTCAACGGAATATGGTAGTTAGGACCCCTTACGAACATAATTAGACTTGTGCCAATTTTGTATCTCAACGGAACTCACACTTTACCACTTTTTACCACCTTTGTACCACCTTTCTGGTTTGCCAAATATCTTAGTTGTGAAAAACCATCATAGAAGGCTGCAAATTAACCTAGAATGTATATCTTATCAAGGAGGTAAAACTTTTGTATCAAAGTTTTTACATCGGACAATCAGCTAATTGGCTAATTAACCACTTAGTTATTCACCAAAAAAGTGAAATTTTTTATTTGGCTAAATGATTGAAATCGTTTGAAACACGGAGAATGTAGTTTAGAAAACTACTTCAAAAATTTTTCATCTACAATTTTTTTTCCGAGACTTAAAAAAAAAGTTTGAAAATTTGAAAATATTTTTTTCCGCCAAAAGTGATCGAATTGCATGAAACGTGGATAAAAATGCTTTGCAGAAAAACTTCGAAGATTTTTTAGATTGGGGAATACTAAAATCATCAATATTTGAAGTTGGAGTTCAGTAAATCTCGACATATTTTAGTAATTAGGAATAGCTTAGCG